GTTGTTCGGATGGGACGAAAACCAAGGTCTCGTGTACACATTGGCATGTACGTAAGAGATCCCTTGACAGTTGGAATTCAATATAAGAGTAGGTCATAGTGCTACTGTCCGGGCAAAATTTCCCTCATAGCACACTGTATGGCGTATGCCAATCTTCATTAGCCCAGTTCGGAGCAGAACAGTAAGACGTTAAACCCCATTTCATTTCATTATTTGGATTCAAGGGTTTTCTTGTGTTGGCTTTAAAAGGGCTTCATCCCTTTCACCAAGAAAATAAATGTCGTTAATGGGCCCCTCTTTAATCTAATCGTGTCCAAGCTGGAAGATTATTTACCGTTGATACTTTCGTTTAGTGTACCGGTACTTAACTGAATGATGAATGTAGATACAGCCATGAAAAATGTGATATTGTCAAGAAATTGATTTCTTCATTGAGAAAATGCTAATTCCTTTGAAAAAATTTCTTGTTAATCGGACGAGCATTTGTGGTCAAAGTAACTCAGAAATATTTATAGAACGGAGATCCAGCTGTTACAGTTTTGAAAGGATTTAAATAGATTTTGTTTTGACTTGTTGAAACTGGTTTTCTATATACACCCACATTGAAATATATCTGATTGACTTTATTTTTTTACACACTGTTTAAGGTCGGGAGACTAAGAAGTCTATTAATTTACAGCAATTTCCGATAATTGCTTCCAGAGTTATGGCGCTTGATCTCTTTGAAAAATATTTTGGATGCTTTAGAAGTTAAAATGAATATCCGATTAAGTTTAAATTTATACACAGTGTTAAGGGTCATGAGACAAAGAAGCCGATTGATTTTCAACAAATTTTGATAATTACTGCCAGAGTTATGGCCCTTAATCACTTCGAAAAATCTTGTGGCCGCTCTAGAGGCTAAAGTTAATATCTGATCCTAACAGGATCCTAATCATTTTCAACAATTTCTGATAAGTACTGCCAGAGTTATGGGCCTTGATCACTTAGTGGTTGCTCTAGAGGCTAAAGTTAATTTAAATTTGTCAAGGTCACGAGACACACAATCGAAACAAATTCTAATGATTTCTGATAATAACTTAATGTGTTATTATTCGTAGTATGGTTTTTATGTGCTGTGAGCATATGTTTCGTTGCCTGGCAACCTATCTTTGATAATTGGAACAGCTAAATCTATGATAATGTTTTGTATACTAAATGTGATCATGGAGCAGAACTAGAAGCCAAACCAATTCTAATGAATTCTGATAATTACTTAATGAGTTGTTACTCTTAATCAGATTTTAGTGTATTATAAATGTTTCATTACCGACAAAAGAAAAAAACATGTGACAACTCTTGTTGACTGCCCAGACAACTTAGCTGCTGTGGGTGTATGTTTCGTTGCCTGGCAACCTATCTTTAATTGATTCACATTTTTTTTTTCTTTTTAATAGTTTAAGTGTAAAACTGGAAATCATAAAAGCTACTATTTTCGTTTTTATGCAAACTCATCAGGCAAATTTCAAAGTGAATTAAAGAATCTGATTAAGATACAGATCTATATTTCGTTTTCGTTTCTTTATACTTTCGATGGCCTACACTACATGAAGATCTGACCGGTTGTAGTGATAGGTCGCGTCAGAGGTCATATGAGAGGATTTTGACCCTATGACGTCAGACATTTGATTAACCAATCAGCATTGATGTTACTAGTGGATTACCCACAGTTCCATGCAAAACATGCCTAAAGCTCGCCGTAACAGACCGTTTCATTGGCTAATTCCTCATACCATTCAGAACACGTCAATGATAACAACTTTTCCAGATCCAAGTGTAGTAAAGACAAGTAAAAGGAGATTTTGAACTATAAAAAACGAAACGAAATAGGATCTGTGTTTTAATCAGATGGCTATTAAACATTACAGATCAAAATCGGTTGAAATACATTTTAATCTTGAAGGACAAGCGAGTAGAAATGTTAAACTCCATTTCATTGCATTTGATTTTGTGATTGGGCACTATATTGAATTACTTGTTTAAAACTCCGTACCAGATCATAGAATCAAAGACAACATCGAAACTTTATTTTGCTTTATTCAAAATATCATGTATTTGGTAACCCCTGACAAGGACAGCTGTCTAGTCGTTTGGATGGGACGAAAAACTGAGGTCCCGTGTACACATTGGCGTGCACGTAAAAGATCCCTTGACAGTTGCCTCTGTCCGGGCAAAATTTCCCTCATAGCACACTGTATGGCGTATGCTCGTCTTCATTAGCCCAGTTCGGAGCAGAACAGTAAGACGTTAAACCCCATTTCATTTCATTTCATTTTGTAACCATAGAAAGAACAAAGGCTTCCCTATGTTAGTCCCAAAATAATCAGTGTTGGGTTGACGTGACATTAAACCCCATTCTAAGTTTGATTTCTTGGTTTATCACCAATATTTAATCATGATGGTTTTCTAGATGTTGGACATTGAACCATGTGGTGCCACTTGTACCAAAGGTTGTTTGGATGTCGGACATTGAACCATGTGGTGCCAGTTGTACTAAAGGTTGTCTGGATGTCGGACATTGAACCATGTGGTGCCAGTTGTACTAAAGGTTGTCTGGATGTCGGACAGTCAACCATGTGGTGCCAGTTGTACCAAAGAATGTCTGGGTGTCGGACATTGAACCATGTGGTGCCAGTTGTACCAAAGGTTGCCTAGATGTCGGACATTGAACCATGTGGTGCCAGTTGTACCAAAGATTGTCTGGGTGTCTGACATTCAACCATGTGGTGCCAGATGTACCAAAGATTGTCTGGGTGTCGGACACTCGACCATGTGATGCCAGTTATACAAACTTAAACAAGTTGAGCCGCTCAGGTCCAAAGGATTAAACTGTTGAATCCATCCCTTAAATATATATATATGTTAACCAGTTTTGTATTGGTAGAGTTTATTTCCAGTTTTGTAACATCCATAGTAACACAATAAGCACTAGTCAATTTTATCAGTAAATAATTTTAAACCACCGTACTGGTTGTTCAAAGCTAAGTCTCGCTCCTCCATTTTTAGATTAAATCAAAATATGGCTGAACCGTCCTATGGTTCTAATCTATTTAATATAGGAAAAATCTGATGCCATCGAGAGTTAGTTATGGCCTAAAGAAAGACCTGCAATGGCAGATTTAGCTCTTGCATAATGTATGTTTAATGTAAACAAAAAGTTTGAAAAATCCAAGATGGCGAAAATTCAAAATGGTGGCCAGAATTTCCGTAAAATGAATGATTTTTATTAGAAAATTGTCAATTTTCTGTTTTATATAGCTTATAATATCTCTTTTATAAGGTTTTCAGAGTCACTGAACTTGAATAAAAACTCAAAAATGAATGCTGAAAATGATGTTACTGATAATGCTAAAAATGATGCATCCGACCCTCCATTTAAAAATAAATGCTATATTTATATTGAAAGTTGTGAAGTTGATAAAAAAATTACACATATGATACCTAGGATAGGACAGGCGTATCTTTGCTCCGTGAGGTGAACGAAAGGGTTCTCTCCAACCAGGCTCGAAATTTCTTTCTAGAGTATATCCTGGTGTCTTTAGCTTATGCATATATCTTAATAATTCATCAAAACGGTGTAAATTCATGACTACGCAAGAACATTAACTAGTTTAGAGACCCCTGAAACTACCATACTCCTTTTGAGTGTAAATCCCTGAAAAGGGAGGCGAAAGGTATTATGTTAAAACGTGTTTCAAATTCCCGCATTACTTGAATACTTTAATTACATGTATCAGTAAAAATATGCCATATAAAATGATAATTTGTATATTATTTTACAGTTACTTAAAATAAAAAAAGTTTCCTTTTTATCCAATGAACAATTTATTGTTAGGTCGTGTAGAAAGATCTGGTGTTAAAACGTGTTGCAAATTTCCATATTACATGTACATGGTAGACTTTATCATATAAACAGTTGGTATTTATTTTACAAGTATAAAAAATGTATCTGTTTTATCCAATGAACAATTTATTGTTAATTCGCGTAGAAAGATATGATGTTAAACATGTTACAAATTAACAACTGGTGTATTAGTCGAGTAATTTACAGCTACAAGAAAGCTTACGTTTAATCGAAAATTCCAATAAACAATTTATTTTTAAGTTGAAGGGAGGGCCCTACGGATGAAAGACCATATTAAATGCTGTTTAAATGTGTATTTTCATAAACTTTGTATGCAGATAGATTATTGTACTAAAGGTTCGTCTAGATAGAAAATAAAATTTTGTGTGAAACAGGTGTCCTGGAAAAAATGGGTTCACTACCATCAAATATCTGCTTCTACAAATTGTATTTGTCCCTTCTAAGCTAATTCCTGTGCGGAACAAACCTTTCCGTATCATCGGAAATTCCAATAAATAATTCATTTTTAGACATTAATTTTAAATTTAGTGGCTACGAAAGCCCTATATTATGATATATCAAAAGCCTTAACTTGCGTGATACTCACCCATCCTAACTAGAAATTCCTTTTTCGGTAATTTTGGTGGCTATTTTAGAAATTGGACAGAACCCCAACCGAAAATGACATCACAGGAGTGTCATAATCACAAAATTGTCTTCAGTGACAAATTTTGACACAGAAACGACCCGTCCCCAAATATCGTTTGATTGTGACACACTAGCTGATCGTTCATTAAGTTGGTTGCCTGCCTCGCCGACGTTCAACACTTTAAATTTGACAATCTACTTCAGACTTTATGAAGGTTTCCCTGATGCGCTGAATTTCAATGAAATAACGGTGGCCATTTTTAAAAATGGCCATCAAAATGGAATTTAGCAAAGTGACCCGGAAGTCCATCAACCAAATTTCAACTCTTCAGCCACCAGGCTAACTGGAAATCATGGTTGAATTCATTTATTAAGTTGGTAATGATGCTCTCCAAAATCCGAGGTCTGTCACTGGACTATTCTAGGTCTTGACGTGTCTTTAAAAAAAAACAAATCTGTTTTTTTGTAGATTTATTGGCGTTGACTGTGGCGACTGAAGAAACCGATGGATTTAAAAGGTTTATGCGTTCAGCCAAAAAATATGATCTTAATGTAAAGGTAAGGTTAATTTATTTGTGGACAGTTTCTTCATGTCTTGTACATTGTTGAAACGCATGTCTCGCTTATTTAAAAGTAAACCAGGCCTGCAGGGTTGGCATGGAAATTATATTAAGAAGTTGCTGCAGTTTACAATGCATGTCTTAATGTAATCTAAACATATCAGTTCATTTTCCATGGTTTTAGGCTGGTCTATCCAAATAAATAAACTATCTTTAGATCTAGACTCGTTCATGTATTAAATATACTATCTTTATTGTCCGTCATCTTTCGAAAAAAGGAGACTAATAAATGGGTTTGTCTGTCTTTTTGGAACACAATTACTCTACCAGTTGCAGATACAGGTGTCACCCCCCACCCCCCACCCCCCTTCCTTAAAGATGCCTTCCCACGGACAAACTGGTTAATTTGATGATGTATTTGGACTAAAAACATATTCAAACTGATTATTCTATCTAAAAATTTGCTTCAAATCCTTCTTAAAACATTATATTTGCAAGGAAATATCCCACGATATAAAAAAATCTACTTTAAGAAGCCATATTTGTCACCGAACTTGATAGAGGGAGGGCCCATTTTCAGAAAGTATTACTTACTGCCCATTTACCATCCATATGAAACCTAAGTAAATGCTCGGATTATTTTCTGTCAACTTCTTTTTCCGTCATTTAATTGCAGAGTCTGTTGTATTATTAACCCCCTCAATGTTACCAAAACAGTCTAACCATTTGATCAAGAAATAAAAACCGCTCCCAAACTCAAGCTGGCAGACAATAAGCCATCTGGCTGACAGTTAGCGATACCCTGACATTTTTGCCCAGTATTTTTCTAGTAAGACTGAGTGTCTCTACTTTACATATATACCAAATTTGCCACATACCTATTGGAAATAACAACCCTGTAAATTATCTCGTGAGAATGTGTTTTTAAGTTAGGGTATAAAACATTCGCTTATTATTCTTTTTCTATGAAACATGTAATTTTTAGCTTTTTGTTGTTTGGGGTGTAAAGATTATGAAATTGAATGTTATGTTCAGGTCCAGGGTGGGAGGGGGGGGGTGTCCAGTGGTTATCGCGTGCGTGTCTAATCACAAGGTATGTCATTAAGTCGGGCGGCGTGGTTTTGAAATCCCAGCTTGTACGTGGCAAGGAGTAGGGTCGCCTGTCCTCTGGTTTCCTCCCACAGCTAAGGACTCCTACGCGCTAGCTAATTATTGAAATAAAGTTGAACTATATGTTAGCCCCAAAATGACGAAGTTTGTGTAGAGTGGAGTTAAACTCTCTCTCTCTCTGTCTCTCTCTCTCTCTCTCTCTCTCTCCGTTCCAGATATGTACCACCAATCACAATCTCAGAGGAGGACACATCTATTAAATATGCAATATTTAATTTTTTAGGTTCTAGGTTTAGGGAAGCAATGGAGAGGTGGAGATATAGCAAATTATGCTGGTGGAGGTCAAAAGGTCAATATATTACGAGAAGGTTTGGAGGAGTTTAAGGATCGTGATGATCTAATCGTAATGTTTGTAGACAGGTGAGGGCGACAATCAATAAACAAATCTCAACCTTATTCATTATAGTTTGCAATATCTAAAAGATCTCTTTGTTATACTGAAATATGTCTTATTAATGTGAGCCCGAAAATGAATTTTAAATATTTGGTGATCGACATGGACATTTGTGGATCCATAGGCAATGGTGCAGTATCCTATGTGTGGATTCGTGGGTGCGGATGGACGTGAATGAATCCACAGGTAGGAGATGGACATGTGTGGATTCATAGGTGGGGATGGACATGGGTGAATCCGCAGGTTGGAGATCGACCCACATGGATTCATGGGTGGGGATGTACATGGGTGAATGGATTCATGGGTAGGGATGGACATGGGTGAATCCACAGGTTGAAAATCGACCTACATGGATTCATGGATGGGGATGAACATGGATGAATCCGCAGGTTGGAGATGGACATGGGTAAATCCACAAGTTGGGAATGGAATTGGGTAATTCACAGGTTGGGAATGGAATTGGTGGATCCCTTGGGTAGATCTACAGGTTGATTTAAAGACATGGGTTTATCCAGATTTTGGGGTTGAAAATGGGGTGGTCTACAGGTCAGAATTAGACCTGTATGTTTCCACAGGTTGGGCATGGATATTGGGCAGAGACATGGGACGTATGGGATCTATAAAGGGACATGAAATCAAAATCTCCGTTACTTGTATAATTTGTTTTTCAGTTATGATCTGGTATTTTCTGGGGAAAAGTCAGAGATTTTAGAAAAATTTGCCAAGTTTGACGCCCGTGTTGTGTTTTCTGCGGAAGGATCATGTTGGCCGGATGGATCATTGAGTGTAAGTATCTATACATTATAAAGCTGACAGTTATCTTATGAATTGATGTATATCAGATGTATAGTTGACACAGGAGTCAGGACTAGGTCATTTCGGGACTAACACATGTTTCAATTTTATTTCAATAATTCGCTTGCGCATAGCGGTCTTTAGCAGTGGGAGGAAACCGGAGGACCCGGAGAAAACCCACAAGGTTGGACAGGCGAACCTATTCCTTGTCATGTACAACCGGGAAATCGAAACCCTGCCAGACCTTATGGTACAGCGCACACATGCTAACCATTCGGCCATCCAAACCCCCAGTCCTTCATAGGCATCTTCAGATGTTATAAAGTACATGTATATGTACCACAATACATTCAAGATCTACACACTCCATATGAATCCAGTAGAACCTTAAGATCTCAGAACAAGTCATTATTCCTGCTGTCAAACTTCAACAGACGAAACGACCTTTTTACTTTGCAGCACCTTTTCTCTGGAATTCTATACCCTAAGACATCAAAGAATCAAAAACTCTAGACACGTTTGAAGACACATCTATTTGACGAAAATAAATACTAAAAGAATCCACATCAACTTTATAGCGCATTAGGAACTTTATCGAGGTATTGTTGCGCTATACAAATTCTGTGTTGATTGATTGATTGATATGATTAAATACAACACTTCTTACTCTGTCTTTATGGGTATAAAATAACCAAAATACAATACTTATGTATAGACGTAATGAGAGGAGGAGGAGAGAGAACTACTTTAAGCAAAGATTGTATAAATGTAAGCTTACTCTTCCGGACACCTGTTACCACTGTTTGTCGTGTATTTTGTACATGAGGAGCAGTCCATTTGCTGATTACACTATTTTGCTTGAATACACTATTTTGCCTATAACGTTTTTTAGGACTTTGAATTCTGTCTTATGGTTTGGATTGTTCGTACTTGGTTTTATTTTATTATCTCCACTAAAATATTTTATGTGTGATGTAACTGTCGAGAGGGAGTCTTTAATATAGATTCTGCAAGAGGAAGTTAGTTCGAGGGCTGTATCAATATATACTATTCAAAAAAAGTAGGGGATATTTGATTTTTAAGTGTTATTAAAGTCACCTAATGAAACTGACGAAGAAACAAATGACAAAATGAAATGAAGTTCACATTCATCGATTTATTCCAAATGATCGTTAGACTAAGTAAGGCACAGACTGACCATTATAAGGGTAAAATGATACCCGGGGTCAAACAGCAAAGTTACCACAGCATCACAACCAAGTCAGTAACGGGTAAATCCTCCTCTGTTTGCCAAACAAGCATTGATCCGACGTGGCATACTCCTAATGAGACGTCTAAGGTCATTTTGGTCCAGATTGTCCCATTCCTGTTGCAACGCAGCAGCAAGTTCTTGGACATTGGCAGGACGTTGTTGACGTTGACGTAACCTCTGTCCAAGCATGTCCCAGACATGCTCGATGGGGGAGAGGTCGGGACTCAGTGCTGGCCAAGGTAATGTGGTGATGTTCTGTTGTTGGAGGGCTGTATCAATATATTACTCAATCTCTAGCTCGAGACCATTAAAAAGCTTAAAATATGCAGACACTATTTCAAATGAAATTGTCATGTGAGTCCAATACTTCTTCTAGTATAAAATAATGACGGTTAGCACGTTGCCCGTAGATTATTTAAAATACTACTATGCAAATGTCAAATGATGATGTCACATCTGTATTTTAAAACTTAATATAAACAGAAACTCACAATAACCATACCAATAAAATCTATAATGTAGTTGGGAAAATGAAGTCTTTTCTGCCAAACATACAGTTAATCGTCGAGACATTTGTTAATAATAATGTGAAATATTTGAGTTCTGTTTACAGAAGAATGAAATAACCATATGTTGCTACTTATATAATAGATTTACATTGATTTCTTTACAAATAGCGGGTGGTTGAGTTATAGTCGTACGGGTTTGATGACTGTTAGGGGGGCAGAACCTGAATGCCCGAAAAAAATTTCGGGTTACAGAGAGCGCGTCAGTCTTTTGCAAGAGGTGAAGGAGCGGAGCTTACCATGTAGGGATTCCTCAAGATAATTTGGAAAATTTGATGGCCGCAAACGCGTGGTCTAATAGTCAATTCAGTACAAGTTACTGGTACCCAACAATCTGATTAAAATACAGATCTATATTTGGTTTCGTTTTTTTTATACTTTCGATGGCCTACGCCCTACACTACATGAAGATCTGACAAGTTATAGCGATAGGTCACGTCAGGGGGTCAAAAGACCGACTTATGACCCTATGATGTCAGACATATGATTAACCAATCAGCATTGATGTTACTAGTGGATTACCCACAGTTCCGTGCAAAACACGCCTATAGCTCACCGTGACCATTTCATTGGCTTATCCCCGACACCATTCAGAACATGAGTTAAATAACAACTCTTCCAGATCCTAGTGTAGTAAAGACAAGTAAAACGAAATTTTGAACTATAAACACAAAACCAAATAGGATCTGTGTTTTAATCAGATTGGTTACTCAATTAAAAGAAAAGTAAAACTAGTGTTTTACTAGATTTCGGGCACTTATTTTTGCCAACTAATTTTTTTACACTTTACGTCAGTGAGGCCTTGTAATAATATTGGTAGAATTTTTGCTCTTGAAATTAATGGTGGCAGTATATTTCATTAATGAATATCTTTGGCAAGTTGATAGATTCCCACATATGTAGAATTGTACTAAATCAACATAGTCTGTAATTGACATATTGTTATATAAAAAAGAGTTACATGTGTCTATAAAATACCACAGAGAGAACATGTGACGGAAAATTACGATTGCATCATTCGGCTTGTTTGACCAATCTCTATACTTATTTACATGATATTTGACCAATTAGATAATTGAACGTCCAAAACCCACAGCTACAAAACTATCATACTGGTGAGAATTCGTTAGACTTGCATTAGATTCCGGAGAGGGACCATCTGAGTTCTTAGACAGCCGCGAGACTGGCTAGGGAGGAGAAATGGTTTTAGTTAGAATTGTAATTTGTGCTATGCTTGTATACCTGTATTCAGCTATATATATATAAAATGTAGAAGCGAACTGTTGCATTGTTATTCCTGGTAAGACAAACGTCTTGAGAAAAACCATTAAGAAGTAAATACACAACGTGAAGCAGAAGTAAAGACAGCTAGAGTCAAATTCTAGACGATCACAAGGCTACAGAAATATGTAGTAAGAAAAGATGCATGGGTCGTACGTAGGATGTGGCGACCGGTTTGGGTGGCTCGCTCTCCACGTCAGACAAAAGACCTATGGTGCTACAGCCTATTGAAATTGGTTTATGTACCTGTCTATCTGTTCCTCCATCTCTGTCTGTCACCTTTGGGAATATAATAACCATAATAATAACGAGGTAGGACAGGCAACCCTACACCCTGTCCTGTAGGGATGGAAACCATGTCACTTGAATCACTATAAAGTACATGCGTTAGACCACTCAACAAAATCAGTCTCGCCCATATGCTCTGGAAAAGCGTGGTTTCGATTCCCCGGTTGTACATGACAAGGAGTAGGGTCGCCTGTCCAACCTTGTGGGTTTTCTCCGGGTCCTCCGGTTTCCTCCCACTGCTAAAGACCGCTATGCGCAAGCGAATTATTGAAATAAAATTGAACCATGTGTTAGTCCCGAAATGACCTAGTTTGTGGCGAGTGGACGTTAAAATGACGAAGTTTGTGTAGAGTGGAGTTAAACTCTCTCTCTCTCTCTCTCTCTCTCACTCTGGAAAAGGTTCGTAATTTATTGTTGTGAATTAGGTGAATGTACGTGATAAGGAGTAGGGTTGCCATGCCCAACCTCATGGGTTTTCTGCGGATCCTCCGGTTTCCTCCCAGTACAAGCTTGTTATTGAAATAAAATTATACCATGTGGTAGTCCTAAAATGTCCTGGATTTTAAACCCTATTTCTTTCTCTCAAGTGTTGAATAAAGAGAAGCCTTTAGCACAACTCCCAGCTAATTGATGTCTATTATAACTTGAAATGAAATAAAATGGGGTTTAATGTACTACTGTTCTGCTCCTGACCGGGCTAATGAAGATGGGCATACACCATACAGTGTGCTATGGGGTCAATTTTGCCTGTAAAGCAGCGCTACAGCCTACTCTTGTATCGAATTCCAACTGCCTATGGATCTTTTACGTGCACGCTAATGTGTACACAGGACTTTGTTTTTTTGTCTCATCCGAATGGCTATACCTTGTCCCTTGACACGTTCTCTGTTTTGTACCACTGACAAGAGGGAACCACACCGGAAAATCTGGATGAACTTTCTCTGCCAATGCAGCGATCAAACACCCGACCTCCAGGCTAGCGAGCCAGCATCTTACCCACTTAGCCACCGTGACCCCCCCATTACAACTTGAAGCTACAGGATAGAGTTTAAACTTGGCACAATGGCTGCCAGTCTTTAGTAACCAGCCATAGAAACATTACAACAGTCTGATAACTTTAACATTTTATTACTTTCAGGAAAAATATCCACAAGTGAAAGCAACAGAGAAAAGATATTTAAATTCTGGAGGTAAATATTGTTTCGTAAATAAATCTTGGCTTTATTTTAAAAGATCAATGAGTGGAATTGTGACAATTATCGACAAAACAATCATGCTAAGTTTCATGTCTCTCTGATTTATTAATATTCTAGGACATGATTTCATTTTTATACTTCCTCATTTTAAGGTGGTCGTCTATTGCTATCAATCGTCCAGATGTCTTATGAGCACAATAGAGGCTGCAATAATCCATATGTCTTTTTGAATTACATGTTGATATGTAATATCTTATAGAGTTATTCCCCTTTGTTATGAGCACAATAGAGGCTGCAATAATCCATGTCTTTTTGAATTACATATTTGTTGTCTATCTCACTGATATGAAAAAATACTACACATTTTCAGTAATATCTGATAAGAGTTATTCCCCTTTGTTATGAAATCTTGTAAGCACTTTATAGGCTGCAATTATTAATTTATTTTTCTTAATTTATCTTGATTGTCTGTTTTATTGCAAGAAAGAATCCCATTAATTTTCAAAGATTTGTAATAACTTACAGAGTTATTCCCCCTTTTTATGAAATAGTGTTAGAAATTCGTAATCCTGTCTGTTTGGCATGTGTTCCAAGTCTTGCCCACCTCTTCTTATTATCAATAATGCAACTTTATTACGATTTTAGGTTTTATTGGTTATGTGAAAGATATTTACGAGATTGTGTCTTATAAACCAATTCAAGATAATGATGATGACCAACTGTATTATACTAAAATATACTTAGATGAATCTTTACGGGTAGGTTCTAATTTGAAGCTGGTTATACATCCCTGACAAAGTTGTAGCAAAAATGATATTAAAGGAGCTAAATCGCTAATATTTGGGACTTACAAATTGACACAAATGTTGCGCAACGCATATAATAATATGATATGAATGTATATAAACTGATTTACATTCAATTGTATCTGTTTCTACTATAATTTCAAAATCAGTTATGTTTGGCGACATACGCCAGAAGTCTCAATCGAATGGCAATCACTAGCGTCTGGTTATTCCAGTCTACACCGATGGTAATCAATGCGCATGCTTTCCAGATAAGAATATGGGTCACCATTTGACATGACTTGTAGAATATGTCTAACCTTGTTCTTTGAGACCCTTATTACAAATGGCACTGAATTGCATCATGGTACATGATTCGTGTACCAATGGTAAAATGTTTATTTTATCTTAAATATTGGATATCAGAAGCCCATTCTTTCCCGGTAAGAACACAGCATCATTGTTGATTTAAATTGACAAATAATCTGTGTTTTCAATGTCGAAGACTTTGGATGATATTGAGTTAGAGACTTAGTTACTTTAAGGTCAAAAACAATAACATAATAATCAAAATGGCCAAATTACTCTTGAAATGTATGGTAGACATCCAAAAGCTTCTGTGCAAATAAAAAATGTAGTTTGTGCTTTGTGTTGGATTGTGTATTACACCGTTTTAAAAGCTTTAATGTTTAGTAGGTTAATATATTTATAAAGGATATTCGGAGGGCCTGACAAGGACAGCTGTCTAGTCTTTCGGATGGTAAGAAAAACTGAGGTGCTGTGTACACATTGGCATGAACGTAATATTAATATTTTTAATTACACCCAATTCATTGCTTTTCAGTTTCTTTATTGTTATTTTTATTGTAGTTTTTGTTGTATTGATGTATTATTTTAGTAGATATTTGACTTTAAAATTGTGAGTTGAAAAAAACAAAAGTTCTTGATAAAAGATGATAATTGAATCATTCTTTGAAAATATTTTATTTTAGCAAAAGTGGAGTATTAAATTAGATACCAAGTCAGAAATATTCCAAAATTTAAACGGTGCTTTAGGTAAGATTAGTTGTTTTATTGAATAAACGCTTTAAGGGGTGAGGCTACCCGAAAAATATTTTCTGAAATTCTAAAGCTATTGAATAGAAAATGGCACAAGTAGTTAGGGAATGTAATAAACAAGGGAAAACTAACATTAAAGAAAAAAAAAGTTGTTGCCAGGGTAACACATTTTTTTGGAAAAAGTATGAAAAATGTAGGTACACCATCTCTGATAATAATAAAGATAAATGTCTCATTTTCAGACTGCTTATTCTTTAATGATAACCCTAAAACCAGACAGAGGGTTTTTCTCTATAATTTTTATGATTTCTTGGAAAATGATGGTTTAAAACATTTGCCTCACCACAGTATTTTGTCTTTGGAGAAATATTTTGATAACTTTTGAAATATTAATGATAATTCAAATTGCTTTCTGTCTGACTATGTGGTAGATATGAGTCTATATACCCTGCAAATTTGGTGAAGATATCTTAATTAGTTACAAAGATATAGCGTACCTACATTTTTCATAATGTTTTTCCCCCAAAATGAGTTACCCTGGCAACAACTTTTTTTTAAATGTTAATTTTCCCTTGTTTATTACATTTTCTAACTACTTGTACTATTTTCAATTCAACAGCTTTAACATTTTGGAACAAAATTTTTCGGATAGCCTCCTACCTTAACACTTTGTAGAATTAGAGGAAAGAAAGGGTGGAAGAGTCCCTCTAACAGTGCAGGTCAGTTTGGATCTCAGTGATACAGCCGAAGAAGAACAGGAAACAATCCTTGAAAATAATCCATAGTATAAGTCCCCTGATAACGAACTTGACAAGACTGTGTAGTGGTCAAAGATTTAATCCAGTATTCGTTTTGGGCGATATGCCCTTCTTCTGCCGGTATTGTACATGTTACAGATTGACTATATACACCAGAGCATCACTATAACACTGTTGTTGGTGTCCACTGACTACATCAATGTTATAGGTTGACCCTATACACTAGAGCATCACTATAACACTGTTGTTATTGTCCACTGACTACAGTTCGTGTCCGGTGTTGGCCGAGAAAGTTCATCCATATTTTTCAGCATGGTTTCCCCCATGTTTCAGTGGCGCAGGTAGAATTTCCTGACAAGGACAGCTGTCTAGTCATTTAGATGGGACAAAAACCAAGGTCCTGTGTACACATTAACATGCACGTAAAAAATCCCTTGGCAGTCGGAATTCGGTATGAGAGTAGGCCGTAGCGCCGCTGTCAGGGCAAAATTTCCCACACCCCATTTCATTTCATTTCATAGTTTAGGTTATCAGTAATATATTATTTGGTGTTTTTTGTTTTAGGTGAAACAACTTTAAAATTTAAAGGAAGTAAAAGTTACATGTATAATTTTAAAACTGGTTCTTCTCCTGTCATTATTCATGGTAACGGACCCATTAAGGTACGTCTATCCAATTACTGTGGTTAATTTTATCATTTGTTGTTTATATATAAGTTTGTAGTCTGTGGTGGGACAAGGATACAAAATCAACTTAAATAAGAATTGGCACTTATTTTTCAATTGGCAATCCTGTTTTCAAATATCTGGTCCAACTAAACTGACAAAAGTGGACTTTTTGGTTGCCAATATTGCTCAAGTATTGCAAAAAGGGACTTACAAGCACAGATATGTTACATATATGCATATTCTACTTATCTTATCCAAAATTTAGATAATTGTTTTTGTACTGTTTATTTAAACATACATTATACAAGAGCTAAATCTGTCTATTGCAGGTCTTTCTTTAGGTCTGAAATGTTATATAAATTATTAATTAGACATTAATTAACTTATCCAGACCATAATCAACTCTAGATGGCATCGCTAGCCTGCGTTGTTTATTGAATTAGTTTCCGATTTGCTGTTCGACTTCTATTCATAATTTAATCATGAAATGGATAATCAAGACTATGCTTTTTATCGTACCGACTTTAGTAATGATGATCGAGGCTAGGACTAAAATTCAATCACTAAAATCTTGGTTCAGAGTGGATCAATTTGACTGAAATTTTCAGCAAATTCCCTTTACACTATCTAGTTTTTAACTATTATAGTGAGAACTGCCAGCTCTTTATCTAATCTCCCTTTATGTATCTTTAAGATTGATATAATGTTTTTGTTTTTTATTATCTAGTCTGAGTTTAATCGTTTGACTAACTACCTGGTTGATAGTTGGACCGTTAATAGTGGTTGTCAAGCTTGTGAAGAAGATACTATTAGTCTAGAGGGTGTACGGGTAAGTCTATGTTATTAGTTCATTTTGCATTAGGGGTCACGGTGGTTAAGTGGGCAAGATGCTGGCTTGCTAGCCTGGTGGCTGAATGTTCGATCCCTGCATTGGCCGAGAAAGTTCATCAGGATTTTTTGACTTGGTTTCCCCTTGTCCGTGTTGCAGGATGGAGGGCCTGTGTATGCATTGGGATGCACATAAAAGATCCCTTTGCAGTTGGAATTCAACATAAGATTAGGCCATAGTGCAGCTGCCCATCTTCTTTAGCCCAGTCTGAGCAGATCAGTAGGACGTTGAACCCCATTTCATTTCATTTTGCATTGTGAAATAGCTTCTTGGAAGTGACAGACACACTGTAATATCTAGCCAGTTCTCTCGGATAAGTTCTCAGGATTGATCCTGATTCTTAGTTTTGGCCATTTTGAGAATTAGAAGTGCAGGTCAGTTCGTAGGACAGATCCTACAAAGAAATGATTTCTCCGATTGATACAGAATCTAAAGATCAATTCAGTTTGACCGCTATAGTTATAAATATGTAAGTGTTTTTACACATAAAGCTATAGTTATAAATATGTAAGTGTTTTTACACACAAAGCTATAGTTATAAATATTTATGTCTTTTTACATATAAGTCTTTTAACACACAAAGCTCTGGTTATAAATGTAGAAGTCTTTTTACAAACAAAGCCATAATTATAAATATATAAGTGTTTTACACACAAAGCTATAGTTATTAATATGTCTTTTTACACATAAAGCTATAGTTATTAATATGTCTTTTTACACATAAAGCTATAGTTATTAATATATAAGTCTTTTTACACACAAAGCTATATATTAACCTGTATGTGGTTCCCATGGTTACTGCTTGACTGATAGTAACCAGACTGTATACCCATTGAATGAGATGTATAGAAATAGATCCGTTAGTAGATGCAATAAAATGCCCCAGCATGGGAAGAAATTTTACATCCCATTACACACATCTGAATTACAAATTTTATTTTTCTGTTTTTTGTTTCTGTTTGCAGGAAGATGACTACCCGACAGTTTTTCTTGGTGTTTTTGTTGAAAGTCCAACAGCCTTTTTACGAGAATTTTTTGAAGATCTTGCAGCATTGGAGTACCCTAAATCAAAGATAGACATATTTCTTCATAATTCTGTAAGTTTATTTGGAATAGGTTAATTTTTTTTAAGGGATGCAAAGTAAGATATTGAGTTAATAAAGTTAGACTCTGTCTAGAACAGCCCTGTGGTTTCCAGCTAACTGTAAACAGCTTATTATGATCACAAACTAACTATCCCCGGTCCAACCTCGTGGGTTTTCTCTTGGTCCTCTGGTTTCCTCACACTGCTAAAGACCCCTACGCGCAAGTGAATTATTGAAATAAAATTGAACCATATGTTAGTCCCGAAATTACCTAGTTAATGTTGAGTGGACAGTAAACCCTTCTTTCTCTCTCTCATATAATTTTTATTAATATATTTATGATATGCTACAAAGAAATAAAATTTTAATAAAAGAAAACAATTAAAGATGTAAGAGAAGAGGGAAAATGTTTATTAAAGTTACAATTTCATATTTTCTAGGAAAGTCAAAACGTAATTATTTAAATGTCTTTTGCTTAATAGGTTGTCAACTCACTATTATACAATCATAGGTGTCATTCTCACACTTAAAACTCATTTACACCGGAAAAAATAACACAATTACCTCCCTTGTTTTCTATTCTCCACCATGGAGTAGCTTACTTCAAACGTTTGAATTTGTCGATGAAAATAATATTTTTGCCAATTTCTCAACTGGCAATAGTGAATTATAGGATTAATAGGATTATTCTTTAACAAGGTAGGACTGTTTATAGATACCATCTATTTTAAGGCTTTATTTTAATAAATTTTAAAAATATAACTTAAAAATATGAAATTGCAACTTTAGATATTTGTCTCACAAAAAAACAAAACAAATTGAGATATTTATGTTTTGATAAATTAATTGAAACAGTAAAAAACTTGTATTGTCTTTAATCATTGTTCATTGTGACATTTGGGGGCTTGGATGGCCGAATGGTTAGCATGTGCATGCTGTATCATAAGGCCTGTCATTGAGTCAACTGGCGTGGTTTTGAATCCCTGGTTGTACATGACAAGGAATAGGGTCACCTGTCCAACCTTGGGTGTTTTCTCCGGGTCCTCCGGTTTCCTCCCACTGCTAAAGACCCTGACGTGCAATCGAATTATTGAAATAAAATTGAACCATATGTTAGTCCCAAAATGACCTAGTTTGTGTCAAGTGGAACCTCATTTCTCTCTCTCTTTCTCTCTCATTGTGACATTTCTCAAATAAATTTGAAGCCATGTTTTTTTTTTCTCCTAATTATAGGAATCACATCACAGAAAAGTAGTAAATAAATTTTTGGATACTTATAAAGGAAGATACAGATCAGTAAGTTATATAACACCATTTGAAGATGTAGACGAATCTATGGCTAGAAACCGGGCTATGTAAGTTGAGTTGTATATTTAAAATGTTGTGATTATTAACTAAAGGGAGTAAATAGGGCTCTGGCTGGGCGGGGGGGGGGGGAGTATATGATGCTGGCTCACTAACCAGGAGGTTATATCGGGGGCAGGGGGGTGTATGATGCTGGCTCACTAACCAGGAGGTTATATCGGGGGTGATGGGTGGGGGGGTATATGACTTGACTTGAAATATTTATTGAGACTCAACTCGAACACGGCAGTCGTGACGACTTGCGACTTGAAAGAGCTCAGGACTCGAGTTGCTGCAGCGGGGGTGTCTTACTCTAAGTTACCTTATTCGACATGAATTTCTGACTCGTTTGGTGAACTGGCGACTTGAGCTGGACTCAAGCTTTGTAAAGACTTGGGACTCGACTCAACTTGGTACTAAAGTCAGCGACTTGGGACTTGACTCCAGCTCCAGGTGCAGCGACTTGCAACTCAACTCTGACTCAAGGTCCCGCGACTTTTGACTTTTTCCCACCTCTGGAGGCTATCACTCAAAATGTACAGTGACTGTAACCTCCAGAAGAGGTTATGTTTCGTTAGCATCCATGTTTTCCTTTCAGAAAAGCCGGCTGTAAAAGGCTATCTTTTTTTTGTGAGATATAACTGCTTTGTGGGTGTATTTCAGCGCTTTATGTGGGTATCTTAAATAGTATATTTATGGGGAAGCCCCAGTTGGCTTGATAACCTGAGGTTGGGTGTTCGATCCCTGCATTGGACCGAGAAAGTTCATCTAAATTTTCCATCGTGGTTCCCCCTTGTCAGTGGTACAGAACAGAGGGCCTGACAAGGACAGCTGTATAGTCATTCGGATCGGTCGAAAAACCGAGGTCCCGTGTACACTTTTGCATGCACGTAAAAGATCCCTTGAGAGTTGGAATTCGATATAAAAGAGTAGGCTGTAATGCCGCTGCCCGGGCAAAATTTCCCTCATAGCACAATGTATGGTGTGTGCCCGTCTTCATTAGCCCAGTATAGGAGCAGAACAGTAGTATGTTAAACCCCAGTTCATTTCAGTTTATGTATTTTTATGAATTATCTTGATATGATCTAGTTAAAGCGGAAATTGCAAATTTTTAAGTTATATTTTTAAAATTTATTAAAATAAAGCCTGAAAATAGATGGTATCCATAAACAGTCCTACCTTGTTAAAGAATAATCCTATTAATCCAATATTTCACTATTGCCAGATGAGAAATTGGCAAAAATATCATTTTTCTCTTCATTTTCAAACGTTTGAGTATCGCTACTCCATGGTGGAGAATAGAAAACAAGGGAGGTAATTGTGTTATTATTTCCTGTGTAAATGAATCTTAAGTGTGAGAATGACACCTATGATCGTATAATTGTGAGTTGACAACCTATTGAGCAAAAGACATAGAAATAATTACGTTTTGACTTTCTTAGAAAATTTGCAATTTCCAGGTTAAATCTTTATGTTATATTTCAGTGATGAATGTATTAAGAAGAATTGTCAGTATTTTTTCTCGGTGGACTCATCGGCTCATTTATCCAATCCTAAAACACTGATTGATCTCATTCAACAAAACAGGTATGGTGGCTTTAATTCCTCAAACACAAAACTAATACATTTTGGGACTAACACATGGTACTATTTTATTTCAATAATTTGTTTGTGCATAAGGTCTTTAACAGTCTAGAAGAGGAAACTAGAGAAAATACGTAGGAACATGCTTTAAAGTTGAGGGAAGTTGTGTGGCTGAGTGGTTTAAAGTGTGCGCAAGTGTGCGCAGCGGATTATTGAAATAAAATAGTACGGTGAGTTAGAAGAGAAGAGAGAAATAGATATCATGTTAAAGATGCCTTGCCACGTACAAATTTGTGTGATTTGATGATGTATTTGGACTGAAAACATATTCAAACTAATTAATCTATCTGAAATTTGCTTCAAATCCCTTTCAAATCCTGAAGACATAAAAAATCTATTTTTAAAAGCCATGTATCTTTCTAGTAAGAATTGGTGTCTCTACTTTCGATTTATGCTAAATTCGCTATACTTTTATTTGAAATAACTACCCTATACATACTTTTGTAGTAGAACTGTAGGACGTTAAAACCCATTTCATTTCATATTTTCGTGAGAATGTATCTTTAAACCCCAATTTCATTTTGTATATTAAACTCTACTGTCATAACTTGTATTAATGGGTTCATTAAGATATTTATCTTTTGTTTTAGATCTATTATTTCTCCTATGATGACTCGAGATGGTAGGTTGTGGTCAAATTTCTGGGGTGCGTTGAATAAAGATGGCTTCTATGCTAGATCAGAAGATTATATTGATATTGCAGAGAGACGAAAAATGTAAGTATAAGTAGATTTATCGTTATAAATAAAAGGTTATCGTTCATATTTCGATATTTTAAATTTTCCATAATATTTTAAATTTTCTATAATTACAGTTTACAATGGAAGCTTGCTAAGATTCAACATAATCTGTTTAAAATACAGATCTATAGTTCGTTTCGTTTTTTTTATACTTTCGATGGCCTACACTACATGAAGATCTGACCAGTTGTACTGGGTGGTCACGTCAGGGGTCATAAGAGCGGCTTTTGATTAATCAATCAGCATTGACGTTTCTAGGGGTTTAACCACAGTTCTGTGCAGAGGTCGCCAAGAACTCACCCTAACAGACCGTTTCATTGGCTAATTCCTCTTATCAACTAGAACGCCTGTTATATAACAACTCTTCCAGATCTTAGTGTAGTAAAGACGAGTAAAACGAAATTTTGAACTATAAAAAACGAAACGAAATAGGATCTGTGTTTTAACCAGATTGGATCCAGCACATTGTACAAACTGACTCATTAATTAGGAGTTCCGAGATGCTGACCGTGATAGTTCTTCTAATTTCCCCTTGTCAGTAGTGCAAGACAGCAGTCTGGCAAGGTGTCTAGACATTTGGATGGGATAAAAAACCAAAATCCTATGTAAACACCATCTGCAGAACGTTAAAGATCACCTGACAGTTGGAAATTCTAATAACCTTATGTTGTGTAGCGTCCATCTTCATTAGACAGTTCTTGTAGAAATTTTATTTCCGGTGATTTTAACAAGTGTTTGCAATAGAGGCCTAGTGTATGTACAGGACGGAGGGCCTGGCAAGTTACAATGCATAGTCGTTTGGATGGGACGAAAAATCGAGGTCCAGTGTACACATTGACATGCATGTAAAAGAACCCTTGACAATTGGAATTCGATAGAAGAGTAGGCCATAGTGCTGCTGTCAATACATAATTTCCCTCATAGCACACTGCATGGTGTATGTCCGTCTTCATTAGCCCAGTCGGTGCAGAACAGTAGAACGTTAAACCCCAATTCATTTCATTTTGTATTTTTTGTATTTTCTAGTGGTGTGTGATAATATTGTTTATATTTTCTCTAGTGGTGTTTGATAATATTGTTTATATTTTCTCTAGTGGTGTTTGATAATATTGTTTGTATTTTGTAGTGGCGTATGATAATATTGTTTATATTTTCTAGTGGTGTATGGGTTGTACCATTTATCAGCACTGTTTACCTGATCCATGGTTATAGACTTCCAGCCTTACGTAATTCTAATACTTCTCCAGATATGGATGCTGATATGGCCTTCGCTCAATACATCAGAAATAAGGTATGTCACTGTCAGAATAAGTTATGTCAAGGTGGGAGGGGGATTGGGTGGTGGCCAAATGGTTTAACGCATGCACCTTAGATCTTTCATTGAGTCAAGTGGCGGGGTTTTGATTTTCCGCTTGTACTTGACAAAGAGTATAGTCGGCTGTCCAACCTTGTGGGTTTTCTCCGAGTCCTCTGTTTTACTCCCAACTGGTAAAGATCCCTAAGCGCAAGCGAGTTATTGAAGTAAAAGTGAACCATATGTTAATCCCGAAATGACCTAGTTTGTGTTAGTGGACATCAAGGCCTTCAGTCAGCATGTTAGAAATAAAGTATGCCAAGGCCTTCACTGAATATGTCACAAATAAGTATGTCAAATCCTTCAGTCAAACTGTCAGAAAAAGGTCAAGGCATACACTGAACATGTACCAGTACATGTTGCGTTTGTGTTAGTGCCAGGAAGAATGAGAAACTTCTCTAATTTTTAGCACCATTACCTACAAAAGTGAAAACATATGTGACAGCTCTGCTGACTAAGTGGGTAAGACACTGGCTCGCTAGTCTGGAGATCGCGTGTTCGATCCATGCATTGGCCAAGAATGTTCGCGATTTTCTGACGTGGTTTCACCTTGTCAGTGGTGCAGGACGGAGGGCCTGACAAGGATAGCTGTCTAGTCGTTTGGATAAGACGAAAAACCAAGGTCCCATCTAGACACTGCCGTGCATGTAAAAGATCCCTTGGCAGTTGGAATTCGATATAAGGTAGATCGAACAGTATGACATTAAACCTCATTACATTTCTGATTGTGAGCACATTAATGGAATATAACCTCTCCTCTGTCCTGGGGTAATATTTACACATGCATGATGTCTGAAATGTTTTCCAATCACTACTAGAAAGTTACAGAATGCATCTAGATTTTAAAATTTTTATTATTGTTTATTTTTTTTCTTTCCTTTTTTTCAGGGTATATTTATGCATATTACAAATCGTCAAATGTTTGGTCATCTTGTAAATAGTGATAATTACGATATAGAACATGTTACAGATGAATTATTTCAAATCTTCGACAATCCTACGGTAAAAAATATATTCATATTAAATAGTATACACCATGGGTTACATGTCGGCCGTATATGCCAGTCATGACCGAAGGTTATGGAAAATGACTGAAATTAGATCTGACCCATTGGTCATTCTGCACGCTGTAAAAATGTTATGTAATTTGTCGGGTAAATTAATATTCATATTAAACAATACACACTGTAGAAGGTAAAAGTATTACATCCTCGATGAAGTGTCAAAAGGATGTATCTAAGAATTTATAAAGATTAAGAAATAGAACCTTTTGCATTTCAAAATTTCCACAAATCAAGATACAAAATTTGGACACCTGATACCTAGAACATTTCCAATTGGCGTAAAGATACACAGCTTAGACAGAAATGTGCATATTAATTGGGTTTTTTAAAAAATGCAAAAAAGTGTATTTGACTAATTTCCCGAGATACACCCTTTTGACATTTCACCGACGACATGATGAAATTGTTTGTTTTATTGTAACTAAAACATAGCCCTTTATAAAACGTTTGTTGTTTTAATGTATCAAATACATCAATAAGAAACTATGTGCAAATTTTTTTGTTTCTGGATCAAAGATATTTCTCATAAACAGTGGTTGAACGATCTTGAGTAAATTCTTAAATTAAGTCTGAGAATGCTTTGTGAACTCACGCCCAGATTTCTTGTCACAGCTTCAGATTTTTGCTGGCAAGGGAGTTAATCAAATAGCAAATATACACCAAATGATATCAAATTCTATTTATCTCTTTATTTGGGACAATGGGGGATTAGATGGCTGAATGGTTAGCGCGAGTGCGCTGTAACATAAGGACTGTCATTGAGTCAACTGGCGTGGTTTTGATTCCCCGGTTGTACGTGACAAGAAGTAGGGTGGCCTGTCCAACCTTGGGTCTTTCTCCAGGTCCTCCAGTTCCCCGGTTGTATGTGATTCCCCGGTTGTACGTGACAAGGAATAGGGTCGCCTGTCCAACCTCGTAGATTTTCTCTGGTCCTCCGGTTTCCTCTCACTGCTTATTAAAGACCCCTACGCGCAAGCGAATTATTGAAATAAAATTGAACCATATGTTAGTCCCGAAATGTCCTAGTTTGTGTTGAGTGGACGTTAAACCCCATTTCTCTCTCTCTCTCTTATTTGGGATATTTTGTTTAATTTTTAGGATTGGGAGAAGAGGTATATACATGAAGATTATCACAAACAGTTATTACCAGATTCCGAAGCAGCACAGGTACAGAAAATTATATATATTATCACAATGTATTATTGATAATTTGGGGGCGGGAGTGGGGGGGGGAGGGAATTTCAGGATGTGTCTTCTGGTTTCCTCCATCACCTTAAACAATTATTGATTAAAAGTGTATTGTATGTTAGTCCCAAAATGACCTAGTTTGTTTTAAGTGGAAAATAAACCCTCACTTTTAGTGAACAATTAGTGTAAAGGGAACAATTAGACGTCACCAATTATAACATCTGACAAGTGTTACCTAAGATCATAATGGTTGTCGTTGAGTCAAGTAGCGTGGTATTGACCTCAAGGTTAAACTGACAAGGAGTAGGTTGGGCTGTCCAACAGGATCCCAACACACCTCTTCCCCCATTCCTATCCCGCTTACCTTTGGTAATAGATTTGATATGATTGATATTTACAGCCATGTCCTGATGTATACTGGTTTCCTGTAACAACTCCTGAATTCTGTCAAAACTTTATTGACGAGATGGAAAACTTTGGACAATGGTCAAATGGTAAAAATGCTGTAAGTACCTTCTTATTCATCTTTGTTTAAAAGTATCCAGGTAAATTCAGCTCATTGATCAGTTGATAAAACAAAAATATAGCTAAAATAAATTATGCTGTAGAAAAACAGAAGAATGTGTGATGTTGTGGAATATTGAACCAGAAACTTGGGGCAACAGTTCAAACCAATTTTAGTACGACTGACATGAAACTTGGGGCAACAGTTCAAACCAATTTTAGTACGACTGACATGAAACTTGGGGTGGCGCTAAAAAAAACCCAACAACCTATGGTTCATCAATTCATATACAATCGACATTGGTATATTTATACCAAATTGAGGACAATGTTTATAATCATATTTTGATGGATTAATTAGCAATTCCAGATTATAAATTCAATTCTTTATCAATATTCGCTACACTGTATCTCCTGCGACTGTTTTTAAGAATGAGAATTTTTCTTCTATGAAAGAGGACACACAAAGATGATATTACCTAGTTTGTATCGATTGGACCCCATTTCTCTCTCTCTCTCTTTCAAATGTGTATATATATTTTAAAGGATCCTCGTATAGCTGGTGGATATGAGAATGTACCAACAGTAGATATACATATGAAACAAGTAGGCTATGAAAGACATTGGTTGTGGTTCTTAAAGAAATATGTTTCACCTTTACAAGAAAAAGTATTTTTAGGATATATACATGATGTAAGTATATTTAGAGCCTTAGAGGATATATGCATGATATACTTATACTTGGGGTAATATGTATTTTCCTGAGGATATATGTATAATATACTTGGGATAATGTATATTTTCTGGTGATTATGTTATATGTATAACACTGATTCATGAAATAGCACGTTTAACCACTGACTGAGTCTGTGAAATCGTGCTAAAAATTGCTTGAAACATTGACACCTGTTGACACCTGTCAATAATGAGTGGGTGAGATGTATCAGGATCAATGCACTTGGATGCATGGACAGCTTTTTGTATTATTAAATGGTCATCCCCTTGCACGTCAATGGTTGTCCTGCCTTCCCAGGTGGTGAAATAGAGGTGGGGGCTATACATGTCACTGATACATATCACTGCACAGGAAGCTACTTCTCCTTATAATTTCTACTAAAACTGGCATAAACTAGCAAAAAGTCTTGTTATTGAATGGTTAAACTTCAGCCAATCTACTAGAGCAAAAACAATCTGCTTATTCAATGAAAATAAGAAAGGAAGATTCCCAGTCCATGTTACAAATTTTGTTATAATACATATTTTCCAGCTATTATTTTTTTTGTGTGAATCTTATAATACATATTTTTCCAGTGATTATATTTGATGTAAATGTTATGATATATGTTTTTCCAGCTGTTATATTTGGTGTTTATGTTACAATATGTATTTTTCCAGTGATTATATTTGATGTAAATGTTCCTGTGATTATATTTGATGTGAATTTTATAATATTATTTTTCAGCCACCACACGCCATAATGAATTTTATAGTAAGATATAAACCGGATGAACAACCATTGTTACGACCACATCATGATTCCTCCACATATACTATAAACTTGGCTTTAAATACTCCTGGAGTTGACTTTGAGGTTGGTTTTATTCATTTATACACCCACATGTTATATAGGAGTATATTCTAATCCAATCTACATTGTAAAGTGCCACAGAGCAGTTCAGCACTATAGAAAATGATTATTATTATTATTATATTATTATTATCTCTGTCCGTCAATCGCCCTTGACAGTTGGAATTTGATAGCATAGCACACTGTATTGTGTATGCCCGTTTCATTAGCTCAGTTTGGAGCAGAACAGTAGGACGTTAAAATCGATCATTGACTGAGAAAGTTCATCAAGGTTTTCCGACAGGGCTTCCCCTTGTCAGTGGTGCAGGGCAGAGGGCCTGTCAAGGACAGCTGTCTAGTTGTTTGGATGACAAGAAAAACTGAAGTCCTGTGTTTACATTGGCGTGCACATTAAAGTTCCCCTGGCAGTTGGAATTCGATATAAGAGTAGGCCATAGTGCTGCTGCTCTGGCAAAATATCCCTCATAGCACACTCTATGGCGTATGCACATCTTCATTAGCCCAGTTCGGAGTAGGACATTAAACCCCATTTCATTTCATTTCCGTCAATTGGTCCCGTCCTCATTTGACCAGTCGGAGCAGAAAAGAAGGACATCAATTTTCGTCATTCTGTGCTTCTGGTCTACAAGTCAAAGTTTGCTGGCTTTTTCTTCAAACTTCCAGTGATTGTTCAGCTTGTCTTCAAGAGGAAGGGGTGTGGTAGCTGAATGGTTAATGGATGAACGTTGAATCCGAAGGTCTGTCATTGAGTCAAATCTTGTGGTTTTGATTTCCCGCTTGTACATGACAAGGATTAGGGTTAAACTTCTCTTGGATGCACCTTGAATCCGAAGGTCTGTCATTGAGTCAAATCGCGTGGTTTTGATTTCCCGCTTGTACATGACAAGGAGTAGGGTTAAACTGCCCTATCTAGTGGACTTGATCATCTATATAACAACATTTTTGTAGTAAAATAAAATTCTTGCAATTTATCTTTTCAGGGTGGTGGTTGTAATTTCCTGCGCTACAATTGTAGTGTAACCGCATCACGTAAAGGATGGTTGCTGATGCATCCTGGGAGATTAACACATTATCATGAAGGTTTACGAACAACAAAAGGAACACGATATATTATGATCTCTTTTATTGATCCGTAAACATTTTATAATAAAAATCTAAATCCGTGAGAACTTCCATATTTGGAGAGGAAAAAAAATCATTTTGGATAAGGTGAACATCTGATATAATCTCATTGATCATTTTGAGACCTGTAAAGTATTTTACAAGTTATTTTTATATTACAATGAAATCTATGTATAATCACACCGAGGGCTGTAATATTCTACCATTCTAGGACATCGTCCGCAAAGCGAATTTCATCACTACAAATATTTTAAAGCAGTGTGCGTTACAATCTCTGCCATGCTGTGATCAACACAAGATAATACCAAAGTAGAACGATTATTTTATTCTATTAACTAATCCAAAAACAACGATCAAGAAATCCAATTTATAATGTCTGCTTCTGTTGATTGTCTGTTGCTTGCAGCATGGCTGTTGCTGGTGGCATGGCCGTTGCTTGTGGCATGGCATTGAATAATTATTGACTCTATCTGTTTTTCATTTTTAAAATTTATAGCAAGGTTTTTCTAGATGTTTTTTTTCTTGGTGAAATTGTTTTTGTATGAATTCTATGTAAAATGTTATGTTAATATGGTTAAAGAGCATCATGATGTTTCATGAGGGCTGGAATATTTTTATTTAAAGCTGCTGATCAAGGTTCGAATTGTGCTGAAATTTATTTTGTGACAGTTTCTATTCATCATATATTTGAAGATACTGAATTCAATTTAACCATTTGTGGCCTGATTTAACATTCACTTATTATATTGAGTCTCAGTTCGTCATATCTTTGAAGCAGTGTTCCTATTTCAAAATTTTTCTTGTCAGACATTTTTACCAAAAATAAAGGGACATAACTCTTATAGTTATTTAAGCAGACGGATTCAGACCACTATTAAAAATCATGTATCAACAAAATATTCAAATCTGTACTAATGAAATTAGGTGTACATTAGTATTTTCCATAAGGGATGAGTAGTAGTTATACACTCAGTACAGTCAATTAATTTTGGAATTTTGAATATTATTCACCATATCTTGATGTCCGATTAGGCATATTCCTGGTCAGACATAGTACATATCTGGGATATACAGGCAAAATAGCATCAATACTTTGAAGATACTGAATGAAATTTAACTGTTTGTCGACTAATATCACTTTTAGAGATGTAACTTTCACAATATTGTAATTTGCAAGCGATTCCAAATCCTTCAAAAGACAATCAGTGGCTTTAAAACATATATAGCTTACTAATTGAATTGTTTTTCATGGCATTTAGTAATTGAACTGGAATATAATGTCACAATTCTATTACTCAGTAATAAGCAGTAATTGTATTCCATAGAACAGTGACCAGTATATGCTTATTAATTAGTTAATACTATATGGATTTAGATTTGTTGTTGAATCCAGCGTTAATGTAATTTGCTTCTGTATATCGTAAATAAATTAATGTAAACCATATGGGCTATGGTGAATTAAGATATATTGTTACGCTTTAAAATATAATCTTTAGCTTTAAAGTTGGTATATTGAATCTCCATTTTATTTTATTTTACACATTGAGATTATTTTTATCATTTATTAAAATGTCACAAATATTATTTGTAAATGTCTTTAAGATACAGATGTGACTTCATCCTCTGATGTTGACCGGTACCCTTATTTTAAAAAATGGTACGGGCAACGTGCCCAGCATCTATTATATATACAAGATGGCAGAAATAGTGGTCTTGTGGGATGATTTCATAGAAATGCGTATTCAAGCTAGTTTAACTGTATTTTAAGTTGTTTAAAGGTCTCGAGCGAGACATTAAGTAATGTGTTGATACAGCACTCGAGTTGACGCCCTCGTGCTGTATCAATATAATACTTAAGGTTTCTCTCTCAACTTAGTTCAATGTAAATAATTGTATGTAGATGTAAGGATGATCATGTATAATGCTGTGGATGAGATATCAGAATTCCAACTCACCAAAAATATTAACATGTTTAATGGATGGGATATCTGAATTCCAACTCACCAAAAATATTAACATGTTTAATGGATGGGATATCAGAATTCCAACTCACCAAAAATATTAACATGTTTAATGGATGGGATATCAGAATTCCAACTCACCAAAAATATTAACATGTTTAATGGATGGGATATCTGAATTCCAACTCACCAACTCTGATTTCTGAATGGCCCAAAATACTTTCTCAACATTATGAAATTTCATTTTATAGGCACATACCTGTAAAATAACATGTTTAGTCTATAAAAACCTCGTGGTCACGGATCTGGGGTTGTGACCCGACTAATAAGTGTGTTTATTCACTATGGTCAAATTGAGAACATTTACCTGTACATTTACATATAGGGTTAGATGGTTAGTCGAATAAAAATAGTAAGTGTGCTTTTCACTTTGGCCTGTCTACGATATCACCCTTGGTGGTAGTGGACGTAAAACTCCAAGAACGAATGAATATTCACTTGGGTACAATTAAGAACATTTAAATATTGGAATCTCTCTCTTTTACGTCTTCATACACTACATATTTTGTTTGTTTTGTCAACGACTTTTTAAGCGACAACCTGAATGTATAATATAATGAACAAAAAGAGTAGAACAAAACCCATATTCAAGTCTCTGTGCATTTGTTGTCTATTTTATTACTATCAGTATTATAAGAAATAGATATCCAAGTATGTTGGATCAGTTTTCTGTAGAACTTAACGCAGCTAAACCTCTTTGATTTAGTTCAAATTAAAGCGTTGAATTTGGTTAATTTGATGTGTTATTATGTTAAAATGTATGGTATATGTATAACTCAATATTGAATACCTATAATATTATGTGAAAAAAATCCATGGTATATGTATAACTCAATATTGAATACCTATAATATAATGTGAAAAAAATCCATCACACATCAAAATATGTATTTATTTTCTTGATGTTGTCTTCGTTACACTGAGAATCATCCAGTAACATAAAATATTTTATAATTAAAGGAAATACCAATTGTACATATATAAATCTCGGCCCAGCGGCTTTAAATGAATATTTACTAATAAAGCGATAAATATATCGATACCGTCCACAAACTGTGATTGTGAATAATTGAATATATACTTGCACTAATTAGGTATTTTATTTAATTTTTTTTTTTAAGTTAAAAAAAAAGAAAAAGGTTGAATAATTTAGTCAGTAAATATCTGAAATAGGTTCAGTTGGCCAATTTTGAACTTCTTTCCCCTATTGAGCTTTAATTCAATTTAAATGTTAAAAAAGGAAAAGAATTGGTTTAATTTCAAGATAATTTGGTAAATCGAATTATCATCACAGTTATAACCACTGTAAGTTTATGTCAATGTGTGCATTTAAGAATTTTTTATGCATCCTCCAAAATCTGTTTTTTTTTAAAAAATAGGTAATGGCCATTATGTCGGAGGATACAGTATCCCATTTAAACATTTGGTATCTTGTTTACATATTCCCCAGTTAATTTCTAGTCATATGAACTGTGCAAATTTATGTCATTATCAGATATTACTGTAGATTAAGACAATGCAGATCATCGTAAATAGATTATCAATCTTTATTTGGACTTTTGGTCACTCCTCTTAACTGGACTCTGGGTCAGTCCTCTTATTTGGACTCTGGGTCAGTCCTATTTATTGGAATCTGGGTCAGTCCTATTTATTGGAATCTGGGTCAGTCCTCTTGATATGATACTCGGTTGTCTTTATTGGTCAACTTAACGATACAATTTTAGTTGGTTTGAAAATCACATTTAGCCATGAAAATAAAATAAACATCGCCATTGAATGTAATTAAAGAACTTGTTTAAAAAAACATTTTAAAATCTTTTACAAAAGGAGTCCATTTTCTTTGAAATACCCAAGATGAAGTGATTTAGTTACATTTTTATTTGTAAAATGAATCAGGGATATTAAAAGCAATAAGGAAAGATTTCGAATGGTACCTTTTACAAAGATTTCTTTAATTTCAAATGTTTTGTATTTAAGAGTGTGTGAGAAGTTATTTTTGTAAATAATATATAAATAACACTCTCTCTTATTGGCTGATTTAGGGTTTTTAGATCGCTTGTCTTTCCAAGTAATAATAGACTCTTAACAGAGCTGTGCTTGTCTTCCATATTGGTATCATGTATAGTATTATTATAACGAATAAAACATTATATTCATTTAAAACTATTTGTCTTTATTTTTATTTACCGTACATTTCGTGGGGTTTCGTACCACAATTGTCGTTTCTCAAAGTGATTGGTGTAGATTTGGCACAGTTTCTCTTTAAAGAGAAATGGAGTTGGTTTCCTTTTTTATGAGGAGTGCTTCACTCCACAAGAGAGTGATTCAACAAGAGGGTAGAGGTGACGTCTCTTAACACAGCTGCTGTCTTCTACATGGAGTGCAAATTCACTATCATTTTCTAAATTTAGGTTTTGGCTGACATATTGGTTTTGCCTGCGAAATGCAAGAAAAGCACCACAACTAAACTGGATCTACATTAGATTCCAACAACCAAGAGATCTTTTATGTGTGGTTGAATGGTCGAGGGGGAAAAAGAGAGAAATGGGGTTTTTTAACGTCCACTTGACATAGACTAGGTCCTTTCGGGACTAACACATGGTTCAATTTTATTTCAATAATTCGCTTGCTGGTAGGGGTCTTTAGCAGTGGGGGGAAACCAGAAGACCCGGAGAAAACCCACATACAACTAACCATTCAGCTAACCACTCGACACAAACTAGGTCATTTCGGGACTAACATATGGTTCAATTTTATTTCCATAATTCTCTTGCACGTTGGGGTCTTTAGGCAGTGGGAGGAAACCGGAGAAAACCCACGAGGTTGGACAAGCGACCCTACTCCTTGTCACGTACAACTGGGGATTCGAAACCACGCTAGTTGACTCAATGACAGACTTAATGATACAGCGCGCACATGCTAACCATTCGATCATCCAACCGCTGTGGGGCCTAAGGATCAGTGTCTAGTTTGGAGAGAGAGAGAGAAATGGGGTTTAATGTCCACTCGACACAAACTAGGTCATTTCGGGACTAACATATGACAGACCTTATGATACAGCGCGCACATGCTAACCATTCGGCCATCCGACCGCTGTGTCTAGTTGTTAGGATGGAACAATAAAACAAAAACACAAATTCATATTTTATGGACATTTTATGACAAAATAAAAAGACAAAAATTAATATTTACAAAATCAAAAAACAGACAACAGATAGAAAGGTTTATAGAGTGAGAGAAGGAGAAATAATGACAATAGGTGATACATGTTGATATCTTAACAAGTGTATTTAATAATATATCAAAATTCATCAGTTAAAAAAAAATGCAAGGCTTATTAGGGGTCAGGGGTCCTGTTTCAGGAAGTTTTAACTAAGATAAAATCCAAATTTTAGTAATTTTAGTGCTTAGCCAATCGAAATTGAATAATCTACTAAAATTTGGATTTTACCTTTAGTTAAGATTTCCAGAAACAGGCTTAAACCTGTAAAGCCGGTGATTGTTATATGAGGAATTTTGAATCCCTTCTACAACATGGTGAAAGTTAAATCTCTAAAAGAATCATCAATCAAACCAGCGGCCCACATTTTGAATCCCTTCTACAACATGTTTGAAGTTAAATCTCTAAAGGAATTATCAATCAAAAAAATGGTTCCATTCCTTTCAGTATTTACAAAGATATGATGAATGAAAACTTCCCATGTCTCATCCCCTTCATACAATACAAACAGGTACAGGACAAATCGTCCCTTGACAACTCGTCCCCTGGGACTATTCGTACCCCACCAATTTGTCCTCTAGGACTATTCGACCCATTATTGTTATGCGTGGATAAATTGTCCTAGGGGACGAATATATTCGTACCCCACCAATTTGTCCTCTAGGACTATTCGACCCATTATTGTTGTGCGTGGATAAATTGTCCTAGGGGACGAATAGTCATGAGACTAATTGTCTGGGGATGAATTGTCCTTGGGGACAAGTTGTCTGGGGACGAATAGCCCTAGGGTACTAATAATCCTGGGACGAATTGTTCTTGGGAACGAGTTGTCAGGGGATCAATTGTCAAGGGACAAATTGTTCAGGGACGAATTGTCCTAGAGCCAATACAAACAAGCTGTTGTTAGTAAAATGTGAATTAAGATCAGCATCTTGAAAAGTTCTGTTGAAATTTAACATTTTTGCACATAATATGATTTTATTTGCTACAAATAATTTTAAAAGACTAATGCCCGGTTTAAAGGTTTATGTTTTATCAGATCCAATTTAACTTTATTTATTGTGCTTCAAAGTTAAATTCAAACTGAAAATGCATCTTTAACTGTTTTTATTAACCCGTTAACTGCGTAGGACGTTATATAACGTCCTGGACAACTGCCACTCACTGTGTGTAGGGCGTAATATAACGCCTTGGAGGTATTTTCCCCAACCTATTCTTCGAACATACGATCGCAGCATGTATAGGATGTTATATTACGCCTGGTACTGGAAATCTAATTGAAGGGAGACAACTGTATTTACAGTTATTTTTAATATGGTTTCAGACTACTATCATTTGTATTCAGGAATAAAAAGGTCCAAAAATGACGTTTTTCGTCAAATTAATTACACAATAGGGGATAGTTAACGTTTTAAAAACTACACAGTTAACAGGTTAATAAATTCTACTGCGATCGATTTGACAGAATATTGACAATATAAGCCAGGCATTAGATGAACACAACCAGTCTGTTTTAATATAGACAATGACATTAATAATACCAACTGTTGTTATCAACACTTATATTTAACACAATAAAAATATCCCCTAATATACACAATTTATTATTATAGCTTTGTACAAAACATTTCCATGCACAAATATATCCCTCATATTTTATAGGTTTTCTTTATATATATATTTATATATATAACTTTTCTTAATAAACCTGGGCCCTATTTCTTGAAATTACTAAAATTTGGATTTTATCTTAGTTAAAATTTCGTGAAACAGACCCCTGTCTCCATTTGACCTGGGGCCTGTTTCACGAAATTGTAACTAAGATAAAATCCAAATTTTAGTAATTTAATTTGATTGGATAATATAAGATTGATTTTAGTGCTTAGCCAATCAAAACTGAAGTATCTGCTAAAATTTGGATTTTATCTTTAGTTAAGATTTGGAGAAACTGGACCCAGTCCCAACAGGATGATACAAGCACAAGTTTAATTTGCAATGTTTTATTCATCATAATATACTGTCGTCCTTCATACATTTTTATAAGCCATAGCTTTTAAACTGTGGTGGACAGGGATATATACCCCATTCCCCAATAAACACTCCCTGACAGAGAGAGAGAGAGAGAGAGAGATTACCGTCCACTCGACACAAACTAGGTCATTTCGGGACTAACATATGGTTTAATTTTATTTCAATAATTCGCTTGTGCGTAGGGGTCTTTAGCAGTGGGAGGATACCGGAGGACCCAGAGAAAACCCACGAGGTCGGACAGGCGACCCTGCTCCTTGTCACGTACACCTGGGGATTCGAAACCACGCCAGTTGACTCAATGACAGACTTTATGATACAGCGCGCGCTTGCTAACCATTCAGCCATCCAACCCCACCCCCTACTCCCTGACAGGATGTTACAAGTACATCGTGAATTTGACATGTTGCCCCACCCCACCCCACCCCACCCATACATGCATGCATTTATAACAGATCAGTGGCAACGATCTTGGTTGTCAAATATAAGGATCAATTTCAGAAGATACAATACATAAATAGAATTGGCTTGTCAAAAATTCTAAGTTTCTAATAAAAAAAACTATTTATATTAACAGATTGTGATAAAAGGAGAAAAGTGACCTTTAAAATCCGTTCATTAAAATAATTCAATCATGCTGTAATTGTTTTAAATTAATCCCAGATATATTTTCAATAACAACATACAACAACAACAATACAACCTTATATATTACATACTTTCAATTATAAAATAGGTTTGTTTTAATTACACATTGATGAGAGTTGAAATACCAAGATGTAAAACAACCTTTGACAGGAAGCATAGCTGATGCCTTGGCAAAATTCTCTTTCCTCTACATATAACCATTGAAATTACCATGTGTTAGTCTCAATAAGGCAGGAATCTTGTGTTAAGATATTAAACTCCATCAGAGAGAGAGAGAGAGAGAGAGAGAGAGAGAGAGAGAGAGGCCATCACTTTCAAATTCTAACTGCCAAGAGATCTTTACATGCACTGGTAATAATTTGTATATTGTTTTTTTGATCAATCATAATGATGCTGTCCAGGCCGGTCCTGCAGACATTACCCCAAAAAATCACACAGATTTTTCATATCCCAGGGTTTGGGTTACTGCGCAATGATGAAAGATATACATGTTTCTATACACAACTTGTTAAATTATTTACAAGTGACATTACTCCCGTCAAAAGGCAAAACCTAGTAACTCACTTTTTTTTTTTATCAAAATTGACTTAGGACCAAATTTGTAGTTACTAGGGTATGTGCTTCCTGTTGTTGTACTACATGTAGATATTCCAATCTTTTGATTTTGTAAGCAGTTACACCCATGACACAACTTAGCAACTTCCTTCATTTGCCTAGTATACCACAGCAAAACCTAGTAACTCAATAGTCAAATCAATGGATGAGCTGGGGTTTAATATTCATTCATTACGTTTTCCTTTGTTTTCTCAAAATAAGAAAAAAGTGAGTTACCAGGTTTTGCCTTTTGACGGGAGATTTTGCAATATAAAATTTAAACCCATATATCCATCAAGGCAATCAAATTAAAGTACAGATCTATATTTCGTTTCAGTTTTTACTTTCTATGGGCTACACTACATGAAGATCTGACAAGTTGTAACGATAGGTCGCGTCAGATGCTTTTGACCCTATGATGTCAGACAAACCAGCATTGATGTTACTAGTGGATTACCCACAGCAAAACAAGCCTAAAGCTCGTCGTAACAAACAGTTTCATTGGCTAGGCCCTCACACCATTCAGAACACGTCAATGATAACAACTCTGCCAGATCCTAGTGTAGTAAAGACTTGTAAAACGAAATTTTGAACTATAAAAAACGTAACGAAATAGGATCTGTGTTTTAATCAGATTGGCCATCAAGGTAGGTTACATTGAAATTAACAAACTAAATATCAGGGATTGCTGTAAATCAATGGCTATGTCTCGTACACTATAGACACAATAAATAATAAATGAATGATGATTTAATGAAGCTTTGGTATATAGCTATTAAAATCTAACAACTAAATATGCAAACTTTTTCTTTTAACCCTCTTTTCAAAAGTAAGATCTTGAGTCTCATTTAATATAAACAACTAAAATATTTAAAAAATCCTAGCCTTTCATTGGCCTGGAGATAAAATTTGTCCGAGGATTTAAAATTCTCAACCAATGAAATGGCTGGATACTTAAAATATTTTAGTTCACGCTTTCATGAATAAGAGTCCTGTCAATTTATCAGTTCTTTTGAATTCTATGCTACGTTAAAGGGGCATTAGGTAAGATTAGATAAAGAGCTGACAGTTCTCGCTATAATAGTGAAAAAATAGATAATGAAAACAAAATACGCTGAAAATTTCAATCAAATTGCTTCACATTGAACCGAGATATTAGTCATTGAATTTAAGGCTTGTCTTGGTCGTCATTACCGACGTTGGTATGATAACAATGACCAAGTTGACTATCGCAGGCATCAGACATATATTCTAACCACTTGACTCTGTGAAGATGACTTTTATCTGGTGATCACCACCCTATCATAACTTGAAAACCTTTCTTTCAACTTGACTTTGTGAAGATGGCCTTTATCTGGTGATCACCACTCCATCATAACCTGAAAACCATTCTAACACCTTGCCTCTGTGAAGATGACCTTTATCTGGTGATCACTACCTCATTATAACCTGAAAACCATTCTAACACCTGGACTCTGTGGTGAAGATGTTGATCACCCCGACATAACTTGAAAACCATTCTAACACGATCAATCTGAAGATGCTGATCACCACCCAACACCATGACTTGAAAACCTTTCTCTGTAACACCTTGTATCCTTTTACATGTATTAAATAAATACATGGCTAATTACAAAAACTTCAAATATAAGTCTAGTTTACACATTTTAAATTTTGTTTTTATAACTTTTCAAGTTCATTCGAACCCTTTTAAAGAGTTTATTTTAGCACATATTTTAAGGGCTGGCCCCAGTTTAATGTTCATGGCCGTCATTAGATGATCCTCATTTAACAAAAGTAGAGCTTGTCCGTCAATCTCCTGCGAACGGAACTCTTCAGCTATTGAAGAACATCCTTGTAAGTTGTTGATAAAATCGCACACCTCCATTACCTGAAAATAGTCCAAATTAAATTATTTTTTCTTTTTTTAAGCAATATTTTATTCAGATTTATGTCTTGAATAGGGATTGGGGATCAGACATAGCCTATATTAAACCAATCTCCCTTAAACTTTGATAAGAAAGACGGATGGGTTTTTTTAACATCCACTCTACACAAAGTAGCTTATTTCAGGACAAACGTGGTTCAATTTTATGCCATAATAGGGGATATTTAGCAGTAGGAGGAAACCAGAAGACCCAGAGAAAACCCACAATGTGTTGTAGAAAGGGTTAAATGACCAACTGTTTCCTTACCACACCTATACGTCCTGTCACAGTGAAACCCTGCTGAAAAAAAACCATTGATGAACTTTCTCAGACAACACCAGCATCGAACATGAGAGACAGAGAGAGAGAGAGATAGAGAGAGAGAGAGAGAGAGAGGGAGAGAGACAGCCAGGGAGAGAGAGTGGGAGAGAGAGAGGGAGAGAGAGAGAGAGAAATGGGGTTTAACATCCACTCGACACAAACTGGGTCATTTCGGGACTAACATATGGTTTAATTTTATTTCAATAATTCGCTTGCGCGTAGGGGTCTTTAGCAGTGGGGGGAAACTGGAGGACCCGAAGAAAACCCACGAGGTTGGACAGGCGACTCTACTCCTTGTCATGTACAACCGGGGATTCGAAACCACGCCAGTTGACTCAATGACAGACTTTATGATACAGCGCGCGCACGCTAATCATTTGACCATCCAACCCCCCGGATCGAACATGAACCTCTATGTTAGTGAACAAGAGCCTTACTGTAGGCCCCCTTTCTGACATGAAAAACCAATATGAATGATATATTTTTATCCCAATGCTAACAATTCCTCAAAATCGTTATGGTATCTATCCTAACGCTAACAATTCCTCAAAATATGTAGAGTAATTGCAAGTAAGAGAAGAATCAATGATTCAGCGATGTTTAACGGCCTAATATAACTTACCGTCCATCTTGCAGGGTTAGTTGTAGTAGCTGGTTCAACAGGTTCTTCCATTTCTATATCTATATCTTGTGGATTAACTGGTGAAGCGGGTGATGAACTACTGTCCTGATTACTGTTAGAACTACTAAATTCATCTATTGGTACCTTTATACATAAAATAACACATGTAATTAATACACAATATCATCTAAATCAAGCTTGGAACATAAGACACCTGTCACAGACACAAATTATATATCACACTAAGTTTTTTATATTATAATACAGTAAAATTCACTTAAATTGGATTTGCTTAAGTCGGATCTTCGCTCCACTTGGATAAAATCGTTTGGACCCTTTGATCTTGTATATTTCTTTATTAAATTTCTGCGTGTAAGTCGGATTTCCTAAGTCAGATCTTTGCTCAACTCGAACATTTGATCTAATTCAGGCTTTTTTCCTTCGCCTAAATCAGATCGGCAGTATGTTCAGAATTTGACTGTCAGTTTCGTCCCGATGGTCTAAAACACGATTAGTTATAACATGCACAGAGCCCCAAAATACTTTCCCCTATCATTTTGTATCAAATCAGCCAATTTGACGCGACGCAATAATAGAATTTTCCTGGAAAATTCGAAACTCACTGTCTGCTGTACGAGACACTTTCCGGGAAAATTTAGGACTAACATATTGTTCAATTTTAATTCAATAATTCACTTGTGTGTAGGGGTCTTTAGCAGTTGAAGGAAACAGGAGGACCCAGAGAAAACCCACAAGGTGGAACAGGCGACCCTACTCCTGGTCAGGTACAAGCGGGGAATCGAAACCACGTCAATTGACTCAATGACAGACCTTATGATGCAACACGAACGTGTTAACCATTCGAACCCCCCCCCCCCCACTCCGGTTATTGAGAGTCAACAAGAATTGTAGAGAGTAGAGTGTTCACAAGGAAATTTGGACCAATCGCCGGACGACAATATATACGAATAATAAAAAGGTACCTGTGTAGGAGTATTATTGTTTTTATTCTCCTCATCATTCGGTAACATCTGAAAAATAAATAAACAAAATAATTCTTAATCTCAATCTGATTAAAATACAGATCTATATTTTGTTTTGTTTTTATATACTTTCAATGGCCTACACTACATGAAGATCTGACTAGTTATAGCGATAGGTCGCGTCAGGGGTCATACGAGCGGCTTTTGATCCTATGACTTCCGACATTGATTAATCAATCAGCGTTGACGTTTCTAGTGGTTTACCCTCAGTTCTGTGTATCGCACGCCAAGATCTCGCCATAACCAACCGTCTCATTGGCTAATCCCTGACTTCAACCAGAACGCGGATTATATTACAACTGTTCCAGATTCTAGTGTAGCAAAGACAAGTAAAACGAAATTTTGAACTATAAAAAACGAAATGAAATAGGATCTGTGTTTTAATCAGATTGTTCTTAATCTCAAATCTGAATGGTTAGAATCCACCGAACCAAAAGCAGACTTTAAAGAAAATTAAATGTAAAGCCGTTGATTTTCATTTCAGGGATTATGAATCAATTGTTGTAATCTATCAATATTTTAAAAGTTGAATCTCTCATTTGAAGGAATATCAGCCAAAAAATGGTTGAATTCTGTTCACTATTTACAAAGATATGATGAATGGAATATTCTCCAACATATGACATCCACTGCAGACGATATAATCAAGGGGGTTGGGTGGCCGAATAGTTAATACGTGCACGTTGTATCGTAAGGTCTGTCATTTGAGTCAAGTGGTGTGGTTTCGATTCGCTGGTTGTACGTGACAAGGAGTAGGTTCGCAGGTTTCTTCCCACTGCTAAAGACTCCTACGCACAAGCGAATTACTGAAATAAAATTGAACCATGTCAGTCTTTAGCAGTGGCAGGAAACCTGAAGCATGGTTGGACAGGTGACCATACTCCTTGACTCAATGACATACCTTTCAGCCACCCAACCCCCCTGGTCAATAGTTAGTGCCAGTTCTTTGTTTCAGGTCTAAAACTGTAGATGATAACTTACCCTCATAATATTATAAGTCAGCCTTCCACCACGACCAGGTCTCCAACCTTTTTTAACAAGTACATGTTTCCTTTTTCTGATATATCGTCCTCCCACTAAAATATAAACATTGTATTTATATTACTTATCATACCTTTAATAAAATATACAGGTATCAGGTATTTCACATTTCATCTGTCAGTCAATCATGCATAGAATGTGGCTGTAACATATGTTATTGTTTTAACTAAGGTCATGTGTGCAATGCGAATTTGTGTGAGTAGAATTTTGCCAAGACAGTGGTATTTACCCCTACTCTTCTTGGAATTCTAGCTGTCATGTGCTGTTTTACATGAACATGTGCACATTATTACAGCCATTACGCTTGACACATGAAAAAAACACAAAAAAACTGTTGTCCCTGAAGAGCCAAAGGCATCCTAAAGATCAAGACCCCCTGCAGCCCCTTCGTATTTATACACTTTAAGATCAACATCTACTGTAGTTCCCAAAGACCCATATGCTTGTTAAAGATCAACACCTACTGTGGCCCCTAAAGACCTATCAAAGATCAAAATATACTGTGGCCCCTAAAGACTTCTTAAAGATCAAAACACACTGTGGCCCCTAGTTAAGACCTACAGACTTATTATAAAGATCAAAATCTACTGATGCCCCTAGAGAACTATATGCTTCTTTAAAATCAACACCTACTGTGACCCCTACGGACCCATACGCTTCTTAATGATCAACACCTACTGTGGGTCCTCCTAATGATGACATATATGCCTCCTGATGATCAACACCTTTTGTAGTCACTAAAGACCTATATGCTTCTTAATATAAAGATCAACATCTACTGCGGCTGGGTACATACCTATATGTATCTTTACATTTACTGCGGTCCTTAAAGACCTTTGCACTTCTTACAGATTAACACCTTCTGTGTTCCACAAGACCTATATGCTTCTTAAAGACCTATGCACGTCTTAAAGATGAACATCTACTGATTTCCCTAAAGACCTACACATTTCTTACTGATCAACACCTGCTGATGCCTTTAAAGATCTACACACTTCTTAAAGACCAACATCTGCTGATGCCCATAAAGACCTACCCACTCTTTAAGACCAACACCTGCCCGTAAAGACCTACCCACTTCTTAAAGACCAACACCTGCTGATGCCCCTAAAGCCCTACAAACTTCTTAAAGATCAACACTGGCTGATGCCTATATAAAGATCTACACACTTCTTAAAGACCAAAACCTGCCCCTAAAGACCTACATACCTCTTAAAGACCAACACCTGCAGATGCCCTAAAGACCTATACACTCTTAAAGACCAACACCTGCCCATAAAGACCTACACACTTCTTAAAGACCAACACCTGCTGATGCCCATAAAAAACTATATATGCTTTATAAAGATCAACACCTGATGCCCATAAAGATCAACACCTACTGTGGCTCTAAAGACCTACACTGTATACTTATCTTAAAGTTGAATAGCTACTGTTATTCCTTAAGACATATGATCTGCATCTTAAAGATCAAAACCTACTGCGGTCTTTAACGACCTGTACCCATCTTAAAGATCAACAGCTACTGCGGTCTTCAAGGACCTATAGACTCCTAAAGAGCAACACATATTGTGGCCCATAATTAAACACCCAAACTGCTTTTGAGTTTGTATGTGAAAATAGTACACATTCCACATATTCAAAAATATTTTTATACAAAAAATATCTTGTGGGATAAAAAATGAAATAAATAAATTTTGCATGCAAATAGTTTGGTTTTGATTTTTTCTCCGTAGGCAGGATCAGTCCTGGCTTTTGACATTCACCTGGGAAGCGATAAAAACTTTTCCGCTTTTTAGGAATATTAATCGGAAATCAAAACAAACCTATTATTTTTATTCCCACCAACTTAGGATAAGACCATGAACACCTGAGGGTTGGGGAAACATTCCAGGTATGAATCAAATTTATAAAGCATGATTCTACCCCAAGAGAACAGAGATCTAACTAATATATTGTCATTTTTTTTTTATTTTAACAGGATAAACGTATTAAAGCCTATCTTTTGAGAACAAGTGACAATTATCTAACGTATTAGAAATTTTAAAATAAACGACTTGGAAGACAATCTTCCACATTTTTTTTTTTTTACAAAATGTTTATAACAAAGCAAGTGGTAAATAATATGCATTTAAAGGTATAAAGGATAAAAAAAAAATCTGGTTTTCATTGTAAGAAATTTTGGATATTTGGTTTAGATCAGATCAGATCGATGTTCAATATTAACGGAAAGTAGAAATCCTAACACGAGAGAGCTAATCGGAGAGTAAATTTGATTAAAATAGAAATATGTGAGGACATACTGTTAGTGGGGTAAATACCCATTCTCTTGGAGCAGCCAACATTATAGCGTTTAGCACAGGATCGGGAACAGAATCGTTTGGAGCAGCGAAACTTGAAAGCTAAATCGGTTTTACCGCAAAACTCACATTTCAAGGTTGGAGGTTCTCGATTTCCTACCAGCGCTGAAATAAAATAGGATTTTATTCTATAAACTTGAAAGGGAAAACTAAATACAAATACCAAAATTAACGGAAATTTTCTGTCACCAATATAATTTAAAGAGCAGTCTCAGATATACGCCATTAAATAAAACATGTCAATTTCAAGGTCAAAATTCAGATTCTTAGAGGGGGGTTGGATGGCTGAATGGTTAGCGAGCGCGCGCTGTATCATAAAGTCTGTCATTGAGTCGACTGGCGTGGTTTCGAATCCCCGGTTGTACGTGACAAGGAGTAGGGTCGCCTGTCCAACCTCGTGGGTTTTCTCCGGGTCGTCCGGTTTCCTCCCACTGCTAAAGACCCCTACGCGCAAGCGAATTATTGAAATAAAATAAAACCATGTTAGTCCCGAAATGACCTAGTTTGTGTCGAGTGGACGTTAAACCCCATTTCTCTCTCTCTCTCTCTCAGATTCTTAGAAACCTATAGCCTCTATGATACTTTTCCAAACAAAAAATAAAAAAATTTTGTTTCAATATGGTGATAAATCAACTAATTCCAATCTATCAAAGTGCCGATTTAGCAATGTCTCTAAATTTGCTAAGAGTTTAATGTTAAATGTGTGACATACTTATCGAGTCAACACATGTCATTGAACGAATCCTAGCAATCAATTACAAACAACTCAATATTTTTATTTAAATCAAATCTGGGACTGCTCCTTGAAAGAATAATTCCAATCAAAATGGTTGCCATAGTTCCAAAATAAGAGTATGTATACCTTGCCTCATGCACAGTTAAAGAAAATTAGGTAAACAGAAGATGTTAAAAATAAGAAATCCTGTAAAAGTTTGTAACAAAGCACAATAAAATCGGGTAAATTTATATTTTCGATAGGACAGACGGTCTGGCGAGGAACAGTCTGTAGTTATTCGGATGGGTTGAAAAACAGAAGTACCATGTAGCCTACATGTAAAAAATAAACCCATGAAAGTCGGAATTCGAAATAAGAGTAGATTGTTCATGAGCCACTGTCCGGGCAGAATTCCCTCAAACATGTAGCGTAGCGCATTGCATGGTGCATATGTCTGTCTTCATTTTAATTAATGTGTAGGGGAGATAATTTTACATTGACAGATGTTTTCCTGTCAACTCTATTTTAAACCCTGCAGTAAACGATTTGTTACGTTAACTACCAAATTTAACACACAACTCTAGTTCTCCTTCTAATCAGTTTCCTGCGTACAAATTACTTTTTCTTATATACATAGCAATATATTGTTGCATGATATAAAATTGGGCAGAAATTTGGATGCAATGATTAGTAGCTTTAGTTAGTGAAATCAAGCTTTTAATGGCAATTTTCAAACTTTTTCTTACGCCACCTGCTTTTTTTTTGGGGGGGGGGGGACTTCCTGTCGACCCAGTAGGTGTTGGAAAATGGGAATAAAACGGTTTACGTCCTATCAACGTACTGTTTGGTCATATTGCGACTAATGTACAGTAAAAAATTTTCTAGGTCATTTTGGGACTAACATACGGTTCAATTTTATTTCTTTAAGTTGGAGGACCACACAACTTGGCTCAATGACAGACCTTATGATGCAACTCGCACACGTTAACCATTCAGCCACCCAAATACCCCTGAGACGATAAACCGAGGTCTTGTACATGCTGGCATGCATGTCAAAGAACCATGACAGATGGAATTTGATGAAGAAAAGAAATAGATGCCACTGTCCAGGCACAATTCCCCTCACTGCCCATCTTTATTAGCCCAATTGCTTTGGTGCAGAAAAGTTTGACGATAACCCCAATTCAATTCATTTCAATGAAGCGAGAGCGGGAGAGAAAGCTGGGGTTTAACGTCCTCTCGACACAAACTAGGTCATTTCGGGACTAACACATGGTTCAATTTTATTTCAACAATTCTTTTGCGAGTAGGGGTCTTTAGCAGTGAAAGGAAACCGGAGGACCCAGAGAAAACCCACGAGGTTGGACAGTCGACCGTACTCCTTGTCATTTCAATGAAGCCTGCAGCTTCCTATATACATGTATTACAAACAAACATATATACCATCATGAGCATCCAGTAACGGTGGAGGATTTTCATCAAATGATTCAGACATATCATCTTCTGATTCTTTATCATTTCTACATGGTTTAGGTGGAATAAATTCTGACATCTGAGTTGACCTCTGAACCTAAATAATGACACAAAAATAAAATACTATACTTTAATAAATTGTGGGGGGGGGGGTGTCTCAAGACCCCCTGATGAGATGGTTTAAAGATCATCAAGAGTCCATTTTAAGCTGACTATCTTTCCTCATGACAGCACAAAGGGGTTATGGTACATGTATACATGTTTAAATCAATTTCTATTTCAAACTGTTTCAGAAACAGAAAAGCCCTCTAATGTTGGCCCTTTAAGTCTAAGGTTGTTGAAGTGTATTCATTAAGATGGTAAACACTAGGTTTTATAAAAAAGTTTTACTAAAAATTCTAGAAGAGGACAACAAAGAGGGACTGTTAGAAAAAATAAATTCAAAAGTAAAAAAAATAAAGAGAAGCTAATTTGGGGTGAGATTCAGAGAAATACATATGCCTATCACTAGAGGTCTTCGAGTTGGTGACTACAGTAATGAATCATTGGTAAGAATGCCTGACTTTTGTCTTATCCAACTCCTTCGATCTTTGTATTTATTACAATCTAGCTCAAATGTTGAACTTATTACTGGGAAGGATTCAAATGTTAGCTTACTGGGAAAGATTCAAATGTTAGCTAACTGGGAAAGGTTCAAATGTTAGCTTACTGGGAAAGGTTCAAATGTTAGCTAACTGGGAAAGGTTCAAATGTTAGCTAACTGGGAAAGGTTCAAATGTTAGCTAACTTGGTTAGGTTCAAATGTTAGCTTACAGGGAAAGGTTGAAATGTTAGCTTACTGGGAAGGGTTTAAAAGTTAGCTTACCGGGAAAGGTTCATATATTAGCTTACTGGGAAAGGTTCAAATGTTAGCTTACTGGGAAAGGTTCAAATGTTAGCTTATTGGGAAAGGTTCAAATGTTAGCTTACTGGGAAAGGTTCAAAGGTTAGCTTGTTGGGAAGGTTCAAATGTTAGCTTACTTATAAAGGTTCAATGGTTAGCTAACAAGGAAAGGTTCAAATATTAGCTTACTGGGACAGGTTCAAATGATGGATTACAGGGAAAGGTTCAAATTTTAGTTTACTTGGTTAGGTTCAAATGTTAGCTTACATCTTTTTATTTTTCATAATCTAGCTAAAATGTTAAACTTACCGGGAATGGTTCATATCCTTCATGGATAACAAAGCCTTCTATAACGTGCGTTAATATATGAGGTTTAACGATAGCTCTCTGTTTTTCAACTACCGGCTTCTCTAGTGGTGGAGGTAATTTCTCATCACACGTCTCCACCAGATCTTTCTCCTTCTCGTTAAATAAAACATCACCAGATTTCTCTTCTTTCTCGCTATCTTCTGTTTTGTTATCGGTGGGTTTCACCAGTTCTTTTACCGTGGCTGCGACAGGTTGCTGTTTTTTACCCATTTCGACCTCGGAATCCGACTGACTCTTAGATGACTGTTTACCGTTAGTTTGTAAAGGATTGGATGTTGTTTTTGTGATGGCCGTAACTGGAGCAGTTTTGAGATTTGGGGAGGAAGGAACAGACGGCTTAGCAGATGATGATTTTGACCGATGTTTAGTTTTGGGAACGGAAGGGATGTTGAGTTGAGCTGAAGTTTGACCTATGACCTGTGTGGGTTGGATCTTAGCAGTTTTTGACACAGAGGGTAATAACGCTTTTCCTGGCGGCGCTATTGTTGTATTCTTTAATACCGTATTTGGTTTGACTTGTGCGGCTTGTTGAACTTCAATAACCTTATTTGTTTTCACGACACCAAAATTCTGCATGTTGGTTGTCATCAGGTTCTGTGGTGTTTGAAATGGTCCTGCAGCACGGATATATAATGACTGTCCAGCTAAAATAGCTTGTGATTGGCCATGACTGGTCAATAATTGTTGGTGTGCACCCAATGGGATGCCTTGTTGCTGTAGATTAGCCATTGCTTGTAAAACTGCCTGATTGGTCAACATGGGTTGCGATGTGATTATTTGACCAGCGTTGACTAGCTGTGGTTGTGTGTTTAGGCGCAAGGGTGCCTGGGAATTTAGAAGCTGCTGCTGACCAGGGTGAGCTACTGTTACAGTTTGACCTTTGGACTAAAATATATAAATTGACATCATTTCATTAAATACACAAGACATAAACCATGTAATAATTGGAGGATTAACTAGGCCATTTCGAAACTAAAATATGATACAACTTTATTCCAATAATTCGCTTATGTGTAGGAGAAAACACACAGGGTTGGGCCAATGACTTCACTTACGTCACGTACTGGCTTGAAATAAAGCATGCCACTTGTATCAAAAAGTGATCTTACACCTCCCAACAAGATTCAAGAACAAGGCATGGATGAACTGAATATGATATCTCTGCTATCATCACTGCAGAAATGGGTTTCCAGTGTTATGATTCTAACAACACACCATATTATGTAGAAGGATAGATTTGTGTATGGCAGAACTCAAAAATTCAGAGACGACTATATTTTTTTCACCACATTCACTGCCAAATTGTCCCCTATACCATTTTTCAAATTTCTTTTTAAGTGTGGTTTAATGGTTGAGAGTGAGATATTAAGTAGTATATTGGGCTGATCTTAAAAATATCTTTGTTTCGCCTTACGCGACCGACTAACTAAAACCACCCCCGACTTAAATTATTTTATTGCACTTTTCCGCGATCTTTTTATTTTATTTTGTGTGTCAACCTGAAATATATCACGAGAGTTATTTCCCTTTACTATGGCTATGGTTTGATTCATTATTGAAACTGGTTGATCAAGACGAAAGCGTCATAGGTGTCGCTTCTCAACAAAATGGTTGCAGGCGAAAGCACGTCCATTCCCGCGAAATGATTCTGCCTCTATGTCTGTGGGGCGTCGTTTTAAACATGGAGAAGATATTTTCAATATCCGTTTTCGAGAAAAATGAAGGCATGATCGTTAAAAACGTGTTGAAGGGGTTTCACACTTAGAGTTCGTGGCAAATCGTGTGCGAGTCTCGGAGTCGTGCATCACGAAAAATCCCGATGTCATACTCATTGATTTGTTTGACAATAAAAAAAGACGAATGTTTCCCCCCAGAAAATTATCAAGCTGTCAAATTAGCTCTTTAAAAAAAAATCTGAAAAAAAACCCCGACCTACCGACCCTTCTCCTCGATTGTGGGTCGGGTTTGGCGAAACAAAGATATTTTTAAGGTCAGCCTTGATGTTGTACACGCAAGTCAATGAAATCATTCATCGAGTCCAATATATCATCTAGGATTGGCATGCTGCCTGTACACTATTTGAGATAATGGTACGCCAACATCAAAGGATGATATCACATGTGTATTTTGAGATAAAATAATATATACCTGTCCAACATAAGCTTGACCTGTTGAAACTGGACCTTGTAAAACACCTGAAATATAATAAATACATTTAAACCATATACAAGTATTCAATTTCTTCATTTCAATTTCATGCATTTAAAGATATTATTCAAAATGATCGATCGTCATTTGGAAGATTTTAAATCCCTTTAAGAAATGAAACGAAATGGTGTTTAACGTCCTACTATTTTGCTCCGAACTGGGCCAATGAAGACGGGCATACGCCATACAGTGTGCTATGAGGGAAATTTTGCCCGGACAGCGGCACTACGGCCTACTCTTATATCGAATTCCAACTGTCAAGGGTTCTTTTACATGCCCGCCAATGTGTACACGGGACCTCATTTTTTGTCTCATCCAAATGACTAGACAGCTGTCCTTGTCAGGCCCTCCGTCCTGCATCACTGACAAGGGGGAGCCATGCCGGAAAATCTGGGTGAACTTTCTCGGCAAATCCCTTTCAAACCACAATATTGTGAAATTTAAATAGATAAAAGGAATATCAGTCCAAAAATGGTTTAATTCAAAATTGAGATGAATTGAAAAACTGTCAACATTCGGCATCCACTACATATGATTTACAGTGCCAAATAAATCATATTCTAGATGATAGAGAGAGAGAAATGGGGTTTAACGTCCACTCGACACAAACTAGGTCATTTCGGGACTAACATATGGTTTTTAATTTTATTTCAATAATTTGCTTGCGTTTAGGGGTCTTTAGCAGTGGGAGGAAACTGGAGGACCCGGAGAAAACCCATGAGGTTGGACAGACGACCCTACTCCTTGTCACGTACAACCGGGGAATCGAAACCACACCAGATGGCTCAATGACAGGCCTTATGATACAGCGTGCATATATAACAGTATTTGGGGCATTTTAAAAGATATTGTGTATTATCAAATACTACCTGTGCCATTGACACTGATGGTGAAATAATGGTGTGAGATGTTGGACTGACTGACGGTGGTCTCCCCTGCATTGCTGCGGCCATGTTTGACTGCTGATTCATGGCTCAATGACAGGCCTTATGATACAGCGTGCACGTGCTAACCATTCGGCTATCCAACCCACCACCCCCCCTATATTCTAGCAGATTTTAACATTTTATGGAATAGAACACTTTTTACTTTTTACATAAAAACAAATAATACTTATTTCCTTTATAAATCAACTCACCAAAATTGCCAAAGACTAGTGGACTAACAGCTTGAGCAGGCATCATGGTGGGTTTACTGGCAACCATTGTCTGCTGCTGTGTCTGTGTTTTACCGTTAGAAGATGTCTTTGGTAGGGTCATCGTCTGGTTTGAACCAGCACTTGATACTACTACATTACATCCTCCCTGTCATTTAAATAATAAATTTCATTTTATAAATAGTGTATTTGATAACAAAAATCTCCATTCGAAGGATATTGGAATAACATTCAATATTGTTTAATAGAAAGAGAGAGAGAGAGAAATGGGGTTTAACGTCCACTCGACACAAACTAGGTCATTTCGGGACTAACATATGGTTTAATTTTTTATTTCAATAATTCGCATGCGCGTAGGGGTCTTTAGCAGTGGGAGGAAACCGCAGGAACCGGAGAAAACCCACGAGCTTGGACAGACGACCCTACTCCTTGTCACGTACAACCAGGGATTCGAAACCACGCCAGTTGACTCAATGACAGGCCTTATGATACAGCGCACTGCTAACCATTCGGCCATCCCCCCCCCCCCCTTGTTTAATAGAAGGTTGAGAAATTGGTTAGTTTTTATGAGAAAGCCTCTTAGAATCTGAGCAAATATCGGAAGCTCTTTGATATTTCTTTGAAGAAATTGGAACTTCTCCAGTTTCTATATTCGGTTTACCATTATATAAGTGCCTGGGTAATCATGTCTCTATATTTGCCTACGTTATAGTGGAAAGTGATTGTCAGGATTATCAAGACAGTCATACATTTAAACAGTGAAATTCTGGAACTGATTCTTTCAAAGAATAAATGATGGCCAACTATATTCATTGTTTATGAACTAGGATTTTCTGCTTCAGTCCAGACTATACAATGAAATTCCAACTGTCAAGGTTTTGTTTTTACGTGCACAGATGGGACCTCGGGTTTTCCTCCCATCCAAAATCCACAGTTGTTCCTTGCCAGTCCTACCTCTTGCACCAGAGACAAGACGAAACCATATTGGAAAATCCAAGAGAACTTTCTCAGCCAACACCTGCATTGAACCAGGTACTGTCTGGTTAGTCAACCTGTGCATTACTCACTGAGCTAGTTTCACTTTCTACTTCAGAAGTATGTAAATTTCATACTAAAACATAAGAAACCCTGTGTCATAATGAACTCCTTGTGAACAATATATAACAGTATTTGGGGCATTTTAAAAGATATTGTGTATTATCAAATATTACCTGTGCCATTGACACTGATGGTGACATAATGGTGTGAGATGTTGGACTGACTGAGGGTGGTCTCCCCTGCATTGCTGCGGCCATGTTTAACTGCTGATTCATAGCCATTGCTACTGAAACATAGTTGGCATTATTTTATTATCAAATACATACATTAGTTAGTTTATAACATACAATAAGTTTATTATTAACACATGATTCTACAAAATGTCAGTCACTATTGAACTATAGTAATCTGATTAAAATACAGATCTATATTTCGTTTATTTTTATTAAAGTTTCGATGGCCTACAATACCTGAAGATCTGACTGGTTGTAGTAAAGGGTTGCGTCAGAGGTTGTACGAACGTTTTTTGACCCTATGACATCAGACATTGATTAATAAATCAGCGTTGACATTTCTAGTGGTTTACCTACAGTTCCATGCATCGCATGCCAAGAAGTCGCCTTACAAATGGTTTCATTGGCTAATCCCTCACGCCATCCAGATGCCAGTAATATAACATTCAGAACACGTCAATGATAACAACTCTTCCAGATCCTAGTGTAGTACAGACAAATAAAAACGAAGTTTTGAACTATAAAAAACGATACGAAACAGGATCTGTGTTTTAAGCAGATTGGAACTATAGTATTTGACACTGCATATTTCTGAGCTGGACAATAGGACATGTATTAAAACATTAATAAAATCGCTTAAAGTCAAGACATACATGTATATCTGTAATGACAGGCATCAGTGAGATTGTGCATGTCAGTGATAATTCCACTCAGTTATCAATATTCTGCACCTTTGTATTCTATGTTCCGGTATAGTAAATCCATTTGTTACCAAGGCAATGCATTAATTATTAAATACAAGAAATTTCTTAGAACAAAAGGCACAATTAACAAAATAGATTCATGTGTATGATCCAAAATAAAAATTGCAAACTAAAAATGAAATTAAATTTGTTTGCTTGGTGTGGGAAAATAAAATTGACAGGAATGGATGACCGCTTGCTGTCTTGCTTTTATAAAAAATAACACTCTTTTAAATCATATTCATGGTTTCCTCCTCTGCTAAATATCAAATCAAATAAAACATGGCAAGGGAACAACAAATTATAACTTATTTTATAACTTTTTATTTCATCTAAATTCAATTTAGTTGATTATTTTAATCTGCCAATCTGATTAAAACACAGATCCTACATGTATTTCGTTTCGTTTTTTATAGTTCAAAATTTCGTTTTAATTGTCTTTACTACACTAGGAACTGGAAGAGTTGTTATCATTGGAGTGTTCAGAATGATGTGAAGGTTTAGCCAATGAAACATGGGTAATCCACTAGAAACATCAATGCTGATTGGTTGATCAAATGTCTGATGGCATAGGGTCAAAAGCCACTTGTATGAGCTCTGACGCGACGTATCAGTACTAGAACCGGTCAGATCTTCATGTATTGTAGGCCATCGAAAGTATAAATAAACCAGCGGCTGCCAGGCAGATGGATAGAGAACAAGCTAACAAGAAAGTGATTTTTCCTACAATCAAGGGCCATAATTCAGGAAATTACAATTCGATATGCGCATATATCGAAAGGAACTGAACGAACGGCAGCCATTTTGTCTGTCAATTTTGGGCCGATTTTCACGAAATTCAAACTCAGTCGTCCTCAGGGTGTAACGGTGATATAATAATACGGTTTTTCAAATCGGATAAAAATTATGACCTCTATAGGATCCACAAGCTAAAAACGCAATTTTTCATACAATCAGGGGCCATAATTCAGGAAGTTACGGTCCGATATGTGCGAATATCGAAAGGAACCAAGATCTTTGGGTTATAAACTTACATTTCAAGTTTCAACAAAATCGGATAAAAATTGTGACCTCTATAGGGTCCACAACCTTGATTCCAGAACGAACGGCGGCCATTTTGTCTGTCAATTTTGGGCCGATTTTCACGAAATTCAAACTCAGTCGTCCTTAGGGTGTAACGGTGATATAATAATACGTTTTTTTAAATCAGATAAAAGTTATGACCTCTATAGGGTCCACAAGCTAAAAACGTGATTTTACGTACAATCAGGGGCCATAATTCAGGAAATTACGGTCCGATATGCGCGAATATCGAAAGGAACCGAGATCTTTGGGTTATAGACTTACATTTCAAGTTTCAACAAAATCGGATAAAAATTTTGACCTCTATATGGTCCACAACCTTGATATACCATTTTCTTACGCTATTTGAGAACGAACGAATTCAGTCATCCTTAGGGTGTAACGGTGATATAATAGAACGTTCTTTTAAATCGGATAAAAATTATGACTTCTATAGGGTCCACAAGCTAAAAACGTGATTTTTCGTACAATCAGGGGCCATAATTAAGGACGTTACAGTCCGATATGCACGAATATCGAAAGGAACCGAGATCTTTGGGTTATAAACTTACATTTCAAGTTTCAACAAAATCGGATAAAAATTGTGACCCCTATAGGGTCCACAACCTTGATAGACCATATTCTTACGCATTTTGGGAACGAACGGGTCCACAAGCTAAAAACTGGATTTTTCGTACAATCAGGGGCCATAATTCAGGAAGTTACTGTCCGATATGCGCAAATATCGAAAGGAACTGAGATCTTTGGGTTATAAACTTACATTTCAAGTTTCAACAAAATCGGATAAAAATTGTGACCTGTATAGGGTCCACAAGCTAAAAACGTGATTTTTTGTACAAACAGGGGCCATAATCCATGAAGTATTGATCCGATACATGCTAATATCGAAAGCAGCCGAGATCTTTTGGGGATAAACCTATATTTCAAGTTTCGTCGAAATCGGATATGTATTGTGACCTGTAGAGAGTCCACAAACAATTGTGGACGGATGTCCGGACGGACAGGGGTGACGGCATAATACGTCCACATGAAAATGTGGGCGTATAAAAAGAAATGAAATATAGATCTGTATTTTAATCAGATTGCTAATTTCCTGACTTGACTGATTAATGAAATATGTTAAATAATAACAAGGCATTAACATACTTAATGGTAAAAAAGTGTGTTGATATATTGAGCATATAACTGTATATGGATAAGGGTTTGATTTACTCAAGGTATTGATGTAATAAAACTATACACCAAGTTTCATCACTCTCACAGAACTAAAGTTCTTTGAAAGGCAGGGTACAAAAATTTATATGGGTAGTATTAAAGATATATATATATCTCACCTTGTACAGCAGCATTCTGCAACATTAATTGTTGATTGTACGGGAAGTTTGGTAGACCGTACGGAGGACTATGCATCTGTTGAGGGATGACTTGCACCTGTGGTATGGGTCCGGGAGATCGGATATTATTAGCTGTGGCAACTATTGGGGATGGTGTGGAAACCATACCTTGTGGAGTTGATGTTGCCACTGGTCTCTGGTCCGTCATCTTGAAGAAATTTATACTCTACCTTCTGAAAGATACAGTCACCAATAATAATACTGATAATTACCATCCCAAATTAGAGAGAGAGGGAGAGGGAGAGAGAGAGAGAGGGTTGAAGTCCACACAACACAAACTAGGTCATTTCAGGACTAATACATGGTTCAATTTTATTTCAATAGTTTTCTTGCATGTAGGGGTCTTTAGCAGTGGGAGGAAACCGGAGGACCCAAAGAAAACCAATGAGGTTGGACAGACGACCCTACTCCTTGTCACGTACAACTGGGGAATCGAGAGAGAGAGAGGGAGAAATGGGGTTTAATGTCCACTCAACACAAACTAGGTCATTTTAGGACTAACGTATGTTTTAATTTTATTTCAATAATTTGCTTGCACGTAGGGGTCTTTAACAGTGGGAGGAAACCGGAAGACCCGGAGAAAACCCACGAGGTTGGACAGGCGACCCTATTTCTTTTTACGTACCGGTACAACTGGGGAATCAAAACCAATCCAGTTGAATCAATGACAGTATGATACAGCGCGCACATGCTAACAATTCGGCCATCTAACCCCCCTCCTAAATTAGAAAGAGTTGAAATATCAAGGTATGGATCACAGAAAAATTAAATCAGCCTTCAAGATCAGAAAAAGTTTATTACATAATTAACCTCCTTAGAAACACTAATATTTGTAGAACTTCTAAGTTGAAATTTAAAGGGGCAGTATGGGAGATTAGTTAAGGAGTTGACAGTTCTCGCTATAATAGTTAAAATATAGATAATGGAAACAGAATATGCTGAAACTTTCAGTCAAGTGGCTCCACTCTGAACCAAGATATTAGGTTTTGAATTTTAGGCTAGCCTGCGATCATCATTACTAAAGTCAGTACGATTAAAAAAATAAAGTCTCGATTATCCAATTTAACGTTTGAATTATTTTTCAAAAATGTAAGTCCGCTAAATATAGCAGGCTAGCGATGCCATCGAGAATTGATTTATAGTCTGAATAAGTTAATTAATGTCTAATTAATAATTTAGATAACATTTCAGGCCTAAATTAAGGCCTGCAATAGGCAGATTTAGCTCTTGCATAATGTATATTTAATACATCATGTCTATTTCAGCAACAGCTTGACAGATTTTTCTCATAATTTGCATATTTTTTTATCTTACATGAACATACCTTAATGTACCGCATGCAATACTGTGTAGTCAAAAAGTGAAAAAAAATTGAAATGTGTTTTTTGTGCAGACACTACCAAGTGGTAAAGATCCATTAAGAGCCTGTGTCTCTTGAACCTAACCCCTAGATTTTCCGAATATTTGTTCCTGAAGGACTGGAGTCACCATCCCAAAGTGGGCATAAGGATTTAAAGCTTCAAAGATAATAATGAATTCCAACTTTTAAATTCACTTGATTCAATTCCGGTTTTGGAATCCTGATCTTTATGTCTAGTAGACAGAATAACATTTATAGCTGGTGTAATCTAGGATTTATTAATACTTTATTAATTATTTGTAGATCAACTACAGACGGTTTTAGCCTGGTAGGTCACCCAATTCTGTTCATTATTGCACTGATGGTTTGCAGTCTATAAATAGAAATCGTGAGGAAGAGATGGGTTGCTGGTTTTGTCACGCTCTAAATCACTTGAAATACTCAACATAATGCTTGCATATTGCTGCACCTTATTCACAAAAAAAACATCTTTATGTTGACATTGAATAAATATGATATAAATCAATGTACACTTATGAAATACTTACAAATATTTTGCTGTCTACAATATTTTTACCGTTTGTCTGCCATTTTGACCTCTTTTGTGACGTCACATTTTGGCTACGTCACGGGCACCTGCTAACTCTGATTGGTTAAAAAGGAAAGAGGACAACAAAGAAAATTCACAGCATGTGAAGAGAGACGTCCCTTGTGTAAATTTATCCGTTTCTGTCACTGGTATTATCATCAACTGTCAACAAATAATTAATAGGCACTTGGACCACTTATTTAAAACGTATCTTTTATTTCATACGATATACAAGTTTAGTAAGAAACAAATACTGCGAGATTCTAGAAATTTTACACTACTACTAGTACTACAGCCTGCCTCCGAATCCCTCTCTGACTCAACAAACAATTTTTTAAAGATATTTAAGAGGAATGAGGAAATAAAGAATTTTGTATATTTTTTGGTTTTCGTTTTATCAGATCTTAAAAACAAAAACGATCTGTGCTGCAAATAGAATAACAGGCTAAGCGATGTATGGCATACTCAATATTTAGGTAAAGATTTCAACTGAATCAATATTTCAAACTGGAACGTCAATATTAAAGGGAAACAACTCCATTTAAAAATAATGGATGCAGACAACTTAATGTCCATCCCATTATACAAATTCTAGTGTGTAATACCAAGGTTTTGGTGTGTGTAATACCAAGGTTGTGGGCCCTCTAGAGGTCACAATTTTTATCCAACTTTGACGAAACTTGAAATATAGGTTTATATTCCACAGATCTAAGTTGCGTTTGATATTGGCGTATATCAGAGGGTAACTTCCTGGGTTATTACCCCTGATTGTACGAGAAATCACTTTTAAAACTTGTTCTCTGTTCATTTCTTGCAAAATGTGGATGTATCTTGCATGTTGTATATTGTATATCTTCACTTCAAAATAAAAAGAAATATTGTTTAATGGCACATCAATTCACTAACAAGTTGTCTATTTTGGGTTGTTTTTTTTGCCATGGCTGGCTCCAAGGCCTATTTTAACCATGCTACATGTGTCTATTAAGATACATTATGGGAGATTTTTATAGAGAGTTGGCCATTCTTGCTATAACAGTTCAAAAGAAGATGATGAAAGAAGAATATATTGAAAATTTCAGTCAAATTACTTTATTCTGAACATAGTTATCATCGTTGTAATATTTGACTAGAAATGGTAGTGAAATGTGCCTTCACCTTGGCCGATCGTTTGATTGACAGGCGTTAACTCCACCTACATATCTCGATTATCAAGTAAAGTTTTCAATGGCATGCGGAAACGCTCTACAGCGGCCTCGCTAAGTACACTCTATCATTTAGCCTCGATCTAACTGACGTATTCTCATTAGGGTGCACCATATTTGGATTAATCAATTTAAGTGAAATCCTATTTAAATCCGAGCTGTAGCCGAGCCATCCGTGGGTCTACAGAGTTGATTTTGGGGTTGTTGTTTAAATAAAGATCTAATTTATAATTTCTATAACATCTGAAGCCTAAATTAAGATTTGCAATAATCAGATTTTGCTCTTGCATAAATTTAATAAACATACATTATGCAGCATAATGTATGTTTACTGATGATATTTAATTATATTATGATTACCACGGTAAACCATGGTACCATACAATGTGTCTACAACTGATGGAAAGTATAATATTATTTATTTCCACAGTAAACCATGGTATCATGTGTCTATTACTGACAGAAAGTATATTATGACTACCACAGTAAACCATGGTATCACGTGTCTATTACTGACAGAAAGTATATTACGACTACCACAGTAAACCATGGTACCATGTGTCTTACTGATAGAGAGAGAGAAATGCGGTTTAACGTCCACTCGACACAGACTAGGTCATTTCGGGACTGACACAGGGTTCAATTTTATTTTAATAATTCGCTTGCGCGTAGGGGTCTTTAGAAGTGGGAGGAAACCGGAGGACCCGGAGAAAACCCACGAGGTTTGATAGGTGGCCCTACTCCTTGCCACGTACAACCGGGGAATCATTACTGATAGAAAGTATATTATGTTTACCACAATAAACCATGGTATATCACGATTAACACAGAAAACAAAGATTATCATTAGTGATCACTTTTATTATTTAAAGGGGCATTAGGTAAGAGCTGACAGTTCTCACAATAATAGTTAAAAAATAGATAATGAGAAGGGAATATGTTGAAAATTTCAGTCAAATAAATTTACTCTGAGCCGAGTTATCGCCGATACAATTAGAGTGTAGCCTCGATTGTCATTGCTACTGTTGTTAAGATAATAAACAAAGTCTTGATTATCCATTTTTACATTCAATCATCAACCTCATATCGTATTTAATTCTATTAAAATTCTAGACTGTCCGATGAGCAATGACATTGAGAGTTGATTATAGTTTTGTCATGTTGATTAATGTCTAACTGATAACAATTAAGACCTAAAGAAAGGCCTGCAATAGACAGATTTAGCTCTTGCATAATGCCTGTTTAATTCTCAGATGTTCTACCAATTGTACAAGACAGTGGGGTATTATACCTGATTATCATTTTATTCAATATTAAAAACAAATATTCCAGTTAAAGTCTGCACTTCAACACATGGTTTTGGATAATGTCATTTCATTACTTCACAAAATGAGGGTGATCACTGTATGTCTATTTCATACATCTCCAAAATATTAATGAATTAAAACAAAACTTAAAATTTATAACATAAAATAAATTCAATGAAATTAAAACATTTATAACATAACTGAATTATTACATCAATTTATAATTAAAGCAACATAACATTTCAATAAAACTTTGTTTATGTTTAATAATAAGTCCATTTATATCACGCTAATTCCACATAGAGTTGTGCTGGAAATGATATAATGAATTTACAAACAAGGCATACATATTTTATAGATACATGTATATTGCTATTTTTAGGAATCATAATGGCTGCTTAAGACGCTCGCACACAAATCAGGTCCCCTCGGTATCCCCAGTGGTTCCCTTTCTTATTTGCTGAGAGAGTCCCTCTTGATTATTCAGCCTAGTTTCCCTTATCAGTGAGAAAAAACGGAGGGCCGGGCATGAAATGGTATCTACATGTAGTTGTTCCGATGATATGTAAAACGAGTATAAACTTCATTTTTATTGATGCTTTTGTTACTATCTAAAAAATTGTGACCATACATGGAAACATAATGAATGGGATTTTGGTTCTGATTATCTTGTAATATATCCTATTTAGTACATGTAGTGTCTGAAATTCCACAGCGTAATATATCCTATTTAGTACATGTAGTGTCTGAAATTCCACAGCATAACTAGAGATATGTAGGCATCACACTGTGTCAGGATGCAGAATATATGCTTACTCTTTCTAAAACATGTGGTACATCTGAGAAATAGCTTTTTGTTGCACTTCAGCATTTCAAAGCAGTGTATGAAATAAGTATTATATTTGTTTTAATAACTTTTGGGCTTGCCATGAGAAATTGTGTTCGTCTGTTTGAAGAAAGCAGATTCTCACTAGTAGATTGGATGCTTGCAGATTAATTACCTATAAAATACAGATGTGACGTCATCCTCTGATGTTGGCGTACCAATATTACAAATAATGGTACGGGCAATGTGCCAAGTGTACATTATTTATGCTAGTACCTGTGTGACGTATTTCATTGCAAAGGACGTACCGGTGTCTGTATTATACAATGTCTAATGGTCTCGAGCCAATGACAATGCGTAATATATTGAAACAAAAGCTTAGGACTTATGTCCCTTGTTTTGTTTCAATATATTACTTAATGTATCACTCTCGACCATTAAACCACACATAAGACCCAATAAGAGATTATTATAATTATTCTTTAAACAATTCATTTACTCTGTAAACAATTTAGTTATTCTCTGAATACTTGAGTTATTATTCAAACAATTTAGTTTTTCACAGGTAGCTGAATTCAACTTATCCGTGAATGAACTGAATCACAAAACATTTAATAACTTTTTGAATAATTAAATTATTTTTTGAATTTACCTTTAAATTAAAGTACTGATCTTATAAATTAAAATAAATCTTAATGAATACAGAATGTAGATATAATATAATTATTGGGAATATTTGAAGTGTTGTTTTAATATTTGAAATATTGTTTAAATAACTGAAGTGTTGTTTGAATATTTGAAGTATTCTTTAAATATTTGAAGTATTTGAATAATGTTTAGTATTCTTTGAATATTTGAAGTATTCTTTGAATAATTGATGTATTCTTTGACCATTTGAAGTATTCTTTGAATAAATGAAGTATTCTTTGAATATTTGAAGTATTCTTAGAATATTTGAAGTATTCTTTGAATATTTGAAGTATTCTTTGAAGTATTCTTTGAATATTTGAAGTATTCTAAGAATATTTTTTAGTATTCTTAGAATATTTTTTAGTATTCTTAGAATATTTTTTAGTATTCTTAGAATATTTTTTAGTATTCTCATAATACTTTTTAGTATTCTTAGAATATTTTTTAGTATTCTTAGAATATTTTTTAGTATTCTTAGAATATTTGAAGTATTCTTTGAATAAATTAATCTTAACTAAGCTTATTCTTTGATTGATGAACAATTATAAAATCAGTGAATAACAAGATGAGTGATAAATAGATCTTCCTCCTGTCCATTTAAAATCCATAATGCGTCAAAACGCGGATCTGTCTCCATGTTCAGGATGCTGTATTTTGTGCATTTTCTGTGGAAAAAAACATAACAAAATTATATCTAACAGTAATAACATCTAATTTGTTATGAATTTACAATGTGATCATAAATACTTGTATCCTCTCCAGTGAGGGTTAATATGTGTGAAAACTGGTCACAGATTCGAGAAAAGTGGCTTCCCTCCCAAAATATTTTACCACAGGTCGCACATATATAAAACCAATCGACTTTTGTTATCATCGCTTTTGGAATAAGATCAATTTTAATAAAAGCTTGACTGTTCATAAAAGTCAAATTGGAAAATTCAATTCCATATTCCTCTTCAAATCGTTTTGACAAACTCTGGTTGTCATAGGGATTAGATGTTAAGCCTAAGGCTGTTTCACCCGAACTGATTAAGAAGTCTTTTCGATCAGATAAGATTGTCATGTCTGATGAAGGCATTTTAACATACTCGTCCCCATTGCAGACCTGGCATCGACTAAATATATCCTGTGGCGTGACCTTTACATTGAAGTGACGAAGAACTTCGGTAGCTTGGTCTTGTGCTCCTTGAGAAATGACATCGTAGCATGCATCTTGACCAACATGCGATAATATTTTTTTGTACGGATTACCACTTGACAGAATAATTCGTTCCTCTTTTAGGCCGATTTCTATCGCTATGTCATGATCCTCGTGGTTCTCCATTATTTTAACATCTACACCACAACTCCGTAAATATCGACCAGTCCCCTGTAGCATCGTGTCACACACCACACGTAACTTACCCGGAGATTGATAATCATCATTATGCACTATTTTCTTCTCCAAAGCTGACAGCCTTTGCATCTCGTTTTCTTCTTTGCGTTTTTTCCGTTCTCTCGAAGTTAAACCTGCAGCTCTTGCTTTCTTTTTATCTTGTTTAGATTTTTTGTTAAAGTTTATTTTCTTGGCTGCAGGTTCCAAATCAATATCTAAGTCATTCTCTACGCAGTAACTTTTAAGATAATCATAAATTTCTAATAACACAAAAGCGTCTAAACTTGCATACACTATTTGTTCTTGGCGTAAGGGACGTCGTTCCCAGTTCGACATTTGTTCATTCTTACACAATGGTTTGCCGAAACATTGCCGAACTAACTCACTCAGGCCCTTTTCTTCTGATTTTGAAAACGATGTTACCACCTTTGCGACAGGTTCTTGGGCAGCCTCTGACTCATCTCCATCTTCATCTTCTAATTTTGATTCATCCAGCATCACATTATCTGCATTGCGTTTGAGAACAAGAGTTGATACTCCCTCAATATCCACAAATCTTTTCATACAAAGTAAAATATCTTTCAAATATGGGAGACTTTTAACCACCATGTGGAGGTCCGCATCAAAACCGTAACCAAGTTTTACCGTTTCCTTGTTACAAAACACCAGCTGTATAAAACACGATATTTCTTCACGAGACAATGTTTTGATCAAGGTCATCATATCTAGTAGAAATATATGATCATGGACTGCCAACTGCATGATCGATATTCCAGACTTTTCTGTACCCATCGTTGGCTTCCATTCCGAATCGATTCCAATCACAGATCCCGGAACTGAAAGTCTCTTGGAACAGATTTTGAGAGAATCTCTTGTATCAACCATCGTGATATGATCTAAAGGGATGACAAGCTGATGATAAAAGGCAGACATGTCTTTGTCCGACAATGTTTGACTGTCCCAATTTTCTTCTTTATCACCGGTCGTAGAGCACCCGGCTTCATCAGTCAACTGCTGCGAAAACTTTTCTCTGGCTTCTAAAACGGACGGAGGAATTTTTGAATCAGGAAGGTTGAAATTTTTTGCCCATTTGACAGCTTCCTGAAGATCATTGTAACACATCAGTTGCTCTACTAGCTGTTCCTTTAAATAATCACTATCTGCAACTGCTGTCAGCACCATCTCTTCCCAACTTCCTGATCCCATTGACATCTCAATATAACGTTTATACAGCAAATATTTTATAGCCCCAAATCCACGGGCATTGGTTATATTTGGACATAGACTGGCTGGAATTTCATAAAGTTTCATTAATCGAACAGCCAGTTTGCTCAAAGTTTTACGATTTAACTGCCCTCTTTTGATGCTAGTCAATTCAACGCCTGAGTTATTAATAAAATCTTCGATACTGGTGCTGCGATCACACAGGTTATCCAACATCTGAACTACCTCTCTCTGTTGATTTGGCTGACCAATGACATAGTTTTCAAGCAAGTTCACTTTATCTTGTAGCAAAAGTGGGATGATAACGTCGTTAATTTTAAAATGTCTCTGTAATCGTAACTTAGTGATCGCAATGGACGCTTCTTTAAATTTCTGATTATCGATATTATAACGAACTAATGGCACAAAATAATCGTTTCCTACGTGATTCATTTCATACACTTTCACAGCCATGTCGAAGTATGTGAAGTTCTTTCCCGCAGTCACCTTGTAAACATGTGTTCGTAGTTCTTCATCTAACAAGGTCGCCTTATCAATCCGGTTTCTGTTCTGAGGTGAATTGAGCCATTTGTCTAATTCTTTGAGCATGAAAAATGATAAAGATGTTGTTTTGAATGTTGAGAAATCTTTTGATTTTTCTAACAAGAAAATGGTCAAAGAATAAGGATTTGGAGCATTTTGTAAATGGCTGCATAATATATTAGAAACGGTTTTGTTTACGTGAAATCGATCTGGTGTTTTATCGTCAAACCAAACACTTTCCAACTGAGCAAGGATTTCATACATTTCATATGTGGTCAATTCCGCTACTTTCGTTTTGTTCTGATTTTTGTTAATCCATGAAACAAGTTGAGGGCTGTTACTTGAAGAAGCCATATTCTAAACTAAGTCTCTAATTAAGTAACAGCGTATTCAACGCCTTACAAATTATTTATATTCGTCCATCACTTTAAATACTTTCAAACAAATTCGTGGAAATTTAGGTGAATATTTTCATTGGAAGTTTTTATCAATATTGCACAGCACATGGGAACTGTTTGCAATAAATCTTGACATGCGCAAACAGATGGACGATCCAAGTTACTAGCTGGAGTTGTCTCCCATAGACAGCGGTTGTATTATAATTTGATTCAGTTGGGAATCTTATAAGTTTTGAATATCATCATATGAAATATAAAAATTAAATGACCGTAATTCAAAGTAAATAAATCTCATCGCATTTCCAATGCGTTATACCAGTGTTGCTTTGTGATTGTAATTTTATAATATTCTGGTTTTGTTAGGGCTACATCATGTAAGAGTTATATCTGCATGCCCGTTATGTTAGTAGTTGAGTTCAAATATTACATATAATTAATTATTATTTAACATGACATTGACAAGCCCATAATCAACTCTCAGGGCCATCGGTTAGCTAATTAGATTTAGATTAGAAACCGTGGCCATGTATTGAGTTTAACGATACAACAGATAACGAAGACTTACATGTAGTCTCGACTGTCAAGAATCGTTGCTACGATAATAAACAATGTGTACACAGGTACGCTACATTTTGTTGAAACGTCAAACACTTATAATTCCACACAGCAAAAAGCAAAAAAGAAATTTGACTGAAAGTTTCAATTCATTCATTTTTCATTATCTATTTTTGAGCTTGTATTGCAAGAACGACCATAGTTCTAAAATAGGCCGGAGGGCCTGACAAGGACAGCTGTCTAGTCCTTCGGATGAGACGAAAAACCGAGGTCCCGTGTATATATTGGAATGCACGTAAAAGATCCTCTGGTAGTTGGAATTCGATATAAGAGTAGGCGATAGTGCCGCTGCCCGGGCAAAATTTCCCTCATAGCACACTGTATGGCGTATGCCCGTCTTCATTAGCCCAGTATAGGAGCAGAACAGTAGGACGTTAAACCCCATTTCATTTCATTTCATTTCTAAAATAGGCCTACTTACTGTTTGTAATAGACAGCAGTCAGGGATCATCAAGTAGTATATTGACTTGGGGATGTGGCACCTTGCACCTGTCTCATATTAGCCTATAGATCTGCCATATAGTTTGTACTGACTTGCCCAATGACTCACTACCACTGTCTTGTCACTCTGTCCATTGTTCAGAGTTTGCTAGAGAAATATTTTCTAGGCTGGAAAACGCGTTTGCGGTCGTCCAATTTTCAAAAATGCCCGGGGGAGAACCATTGACGGATCATTGCGAGAGCGACAGAGGTAAAATTCCTCGGGCCCGGGCCACTTTGGGGCCCCGCGATTTGGTGACAAAAATAAAGAAAAATATTTATTTTATATTTTGTAGAAAAAAAAAATAATGAAGACCCATTTCCCAAAGATCGTGAAACACAGCGACCCTTTTTCGAAGGGTTTTGAAATTATTAGATAGAGGGAATCCAAGGGACATCGGTCAGAAAAAAATTGATATAAACGTTTGGATGGGTTGGCAGCGGGAAGGTGAGAGAGAGAGAGAGAGAAACGGGGTTTAACGTCAACTCGACACAAACTAGAGGATTTCGGGACTAACATATGGTTTAATTTTATTTTAATAATTCGCTTGCGCGTAGGGGTCTTTAGCAGTGGGAGGAAACCTGAGGACCCGGAGAAAACCCATGAGGTTGGACTGGCGACCCTACTCCTTGTCACGTACAACTAGGGATTCGAAACCACGCCAGTTGACTTAATGACAGGCCGTATGATACAGCGCGCACGTGCTAACTATTCGGCCATCCAACCCCCAGGTGATATCAGAATTATTTCCAAAACCCGAAACCCGGTACTATGTCCAACTCTTATTTCAAATTAAAATTCTCATTGGTTGTTTCACGTGCACGGAAACGTGTACACGTTTCTGTTTATATACCCATGGCTCCTGACAGCACTAGAACTACTTCCTCTACTCTCCAATCGGTATTGATTGTCTTGCTTTCGATATTCATCACTTCATACTTCATCCATTTATGCGGAATGATGACGCGAGCTTCTGTACTCGATTTAGTTAGAGGCATGGACGGGACCTCTGTTTTCGTACCATCCGATCGATCAGACCCAAACTTGCCAACCCCACTTTTATGCACCAATGACACGGGTAAACTAGACCCGAGTTCACAAAACATTCTCAGACCTAAGTTAAGAATTTACTCAAAATTGTTCGCCCTATTTTAACTAAAATATAGCACTTTATAAAACTTTTGTTGTTTTAATGCATCAGATACATCAATAAGAAACTATATGCAAAGTTTTGTGTTTCTGGATCAAAGATATTTCTCATAAACACTGGTTGAAAATTGACGAAAGGTCCGTTCATACTACATCCGTATCCGTATCTGTAAATACGTACTGGTATACATTAGTCATTTTTAGAGAAAGGGTTCAAATAGAATCCGGCACGTATTGCGCACAAAAACAACTGCGTCCGTTAAGCCGGATTGATTGCTCCCAGAGCGTATTTTTGTAAAGTGCGTCCGGCATTTCGGCTAGTGAGCCGAGCATTAGCCAATCAGCGAGTACTTTCCCCTTATTACATCATCTCCCCAAATAGAAACTCAATCCATTGCAAGAAAAGCCTGGCCTTGTGTGCTGTGGATTTGTGTAGTCTTGTGAAGAACACAACATGGACAAGACAGAGGAAATAATCATCCTTGTGGAGAGAAATCCCATACTATATGACAAAACAGAAAACAATTACAAAGACACAAACAAGAAACAAGATGTTTGGAAAGAACTTGGGCAAAAAGTTGGACTGACAGGTATGTGATTAAAAAAATACGCGACTTTATTCAAACACATTTTCGCTTTCATGTCAACAGTCTCCATAATGAGTCCTTTTTAGTTTGGACAGAAATATATCAAAGCATGATGATATTAGAAAGTCAGAGTCTGACATTTAAGCAGTCTCTAAATTGGTCGATTTCTGGATTTAGTCCTATTCCACAGAACTTTATGTTTGTCTTTTTGTTTGGGATTTTTTCACTACATGTATTAACGTCTACGGATAGAAAGCCGTGATTTATACTATCTTCTTGGTGGAAATTGCTGTAGTAACACCTTGTTTATAACGTCCTTGCAAGGGTGCACTGACATGTCATGTCTATGTCCTAAGTAGCATGTCCAAAGCATGCATCATTTTGCCATGCAACTGCTCCTGCTGGTGAGACAAAGTAGCTTTTGAATTGCTCCCGCACCTCAAGGGCTGTAGCCTTTGGTCGATGACCTTCTCGCCTCAAAGGCCTCAATACACCATCGTGGATGTCTACTTCCGTCTTGTAAGAGTCAGTCCTTTGTGCGCCGGCCTCGTTTTCACCACACATCATGTTATGTAAAACTATGGTAGCTTTCACAACACAATCAATCAACATGTCCGGGTGACATAGGGAGTTTTCTGTGATACATCCTCCAACGATTTGCCAGAATGCCAAACGCGTTTTCTGAGATTCTCCTCGCTCGCGATAATCTGTAATTATAAATCCGCTTGGCATCATCCAAATCAGAACCTGGATACGGACGCATCAGATTGCTCATGAGCGGAAAACCTCCATCTCCTACTATTACATGAGGAGAAGGTGGACCATCCACGAACACTATTTGACCCATACGAACCAATGTCCACAAATGTAAAGCGATACCCACAGTCAACGAGTGCCAGAAGTACTATTGAGAAAGTTTTCTTGTAATTGAAGTATTTGCTTCCAGAGCAGGCAGGCGCCTGAATCAACACATGTTTTCCATCTAATGCACCCAAACAGTTGCCATCTTTCTTGGAATCAATTTCAATTTGGCGCCACATGTCTTGAGTTGGTTCAGGTAGATGAATTGGCTGTAGTTTATTCCAAATCGCTTGGCATACTTCACGGACGATCAACGACACGATAGAAAGCCCCACGCGGTAACTGAATGCTATGGTCTTGTATGAATCGCCCGTTGCCAAGAATCCGAAAGCACAACAAATTTTGATTATTAATACAAGTGTACATTTTTGTTTTTTGTTTCAGGTAAAGAAGTGGAATCGCGTTGGAGGACTGTGCGTGATAATTATGCTAGATATCGAAGGAAGCTGAAATGTCGGAGCGGGAATGCAGCGCATAACACTGTGAAGGAATACAAGTATGCTAAAGCCCTGTCCTTTCTAATTCCCCACTTTGCCGAGAGACCCACCAGCAGTAACGTGGCAGAAGAATTAGATGATGACCAATTGCAATCAGATAACTTTACTGACGAAGATGATGATACAAGTCAAGCAGCAGACCTGAAGCGGCAACAGAATCGTCTGGTTACACCTAAAAACCCCAGTACTGCCTCATCAAGCCATTTCAAGCAAAAACGAAAGCGTTCTCCAGCTGACGTGGACGCCGTGTTTTGTGAATATTTTAAGAAGAACTCATGCAGTGCAATAAAAACAGAAGAAAAGGCAGATGATGTGGATTTATTCCTTCAATCCATGGCTGGACCAATCAGAAAGCTCCCTGCATATAAACGGGCTGATGTCAAATTTAAGATACATAGCATCGTACATGAAGCAGAAATGCGGTGCTCTTTCCCTGCAAGTATGACACCATCTGACATGCCGTCTACAAGTGCACGTCTGGATATCACCTCCACCCGTTTGATGCCATCTCCCGCACCTCACATGCAGTCAATGGACAGCCAACCCACAGTAAGCAGCAACTTGGAGTCGGGCTTTCGTGGTTACCAGTCATACACCGCGTTTTCGAATTCTGATCATTCAACATGATGACCATGAAGACGTCTATTGGAACTTATTGAATCAGGAAAATAAAAAAAACAGTTTCTGTTATTTTTTAACATTGGAACTTATTTCGTTCATGACGATTTGATGGAACAAGCTGTAATTATCTTCAGTTTGAACATTTGATTGGAACTGTTGTCTTCAAGATTCGATGGAACAAACTGAAATTAGATCTATTTTCATTTGTTTGATTCAAGAATATACATGAAGGGTGTAAGGGAAGAACTGACTGACAATTTTGTCTTAATGCCGACGTGTACTCTCCCCGTTCTTCCCTTACACCCTGGTGATTGTGATTTAA